ATGTGCAATGTGACGCCTCATCATCACCAGCATTCACACATCCACTCACATCTTCACCTGCACCAGCAAGACACAGGTACCCACTGCTACTAACGATACGGTCACTATCAGCACACACACAATCCTGTTGCACACACACACGAAAGGTGTAGGCAAGAAACATATTTTACGTAATTTGTTTGCTACAAGCCAAAAACATAAAGTGGTATTATTGTACAGTTCAAAGTATTTTAGTAAATAAAAAAAATAAAAAAACGTCTTGAGAGAATAATTTTTAGTACAATGAAGAGTAAATAAGCATACAATTACAAATTTGCAGAATTCTTAAGATGAAGAAAATATTTTTGGTTCTGGTAACACATAGCTTAAAGTAATTTTGGGTTAAATTCAAGGTAATAGTCCCAGAAAAAGATGCACAACACACTGAGCGAGACACAGAGAATCCTGAAATCATATGTTATTGTCTCATAGTAGATTATGTTCAGCTAAATAGTGTTAAATTATTATTTTTATATATGAATGTTTCTGTTAACTTATTTTTATATATGTTTTTCTGTTCAGTGCCCTGAGCTGACTTCAGTTGTGACTTGGCGCTATATAAATTAACTGAATTGAATTGATTAGCTTATTTAGATCTGCATTAAACCAATATTTTGGAATTTTAACCATACACATGACCAGTATTGTTTCATTACTGATAAACAAAGGGAGGCTGCAATTTGTCAGGCTTTCACCTTGATTCAGATCAAAGATTCTTTGTAGGAATGCACATTGTCTACTGCCTTGTATGGCAAAGTTTAAAACAGAAATCTGTTTGCGCCCAAAGTATGTGTTGGAGATGACTTTCAGCTACTGCCACAGCAAATTTGAGCTCGAAATCTGTTAAATTTATCATCAGATGATTCTTATGTGACCATAAACCACTGGACAGAAACTTTAAATGAAACTTTCAGGAAACAATCTTTGGAGCTTGACATCTTACAATATTGCTTGATTGTTATACTAAGATGTTTTTAAGTTTTGTCTAAAAAAGCTACAAATCGAACATCAAACTAATTACATTTCTTAACATAATGATCCATATTGCTTTATAAAATTTAGGTAAACTGTCTTATTCTTATTGTTTGGATGCTTTTTTCGTTTATTTTTAATCTTTTTCCCGTATAAAACAGTTTAAAGGTTTATTGGTTGACTTTTACCCCAGTTTAAAAAAGTCTGCAATGCAGCTTGATTGCTTTTTAATGTGAGCAATGTGCTTTGACTCATTTTAAATATTTTTTGTATTTCCTATTACATCACTGGCATCCAGCGGCGGGCGGGGTTCACCCCCTGATGGACCCGTTGGCGTCGGGGTCTCCTTTGACACGTCTCCCTTACCCCGGAGCCACACTCGGCGCTCCAATCCTGGCTCACCCCCTCACTGACAGCGAGGTGCTCCGCCAGCAGCTGTTCGGTGAGGAGAAGGCTCCTCTTCCATGTACTCGTTCAGTTTTCTTCTCTAACACAAAGCTGAAAAGTTTTTGAAGACACGTTTTGACTCTTGAATGGTGACGGTTAACCCCAGTGTCTCCCCCTCGTTTTTTTTTCTTTTAATGAAACAGGTGCTCCTTTCCGTGACCTGCCCCAGCCGTCCTCCCTCTCTGGTCCCATGTCAGCAGCTCACCAGCTCCAGGCCATGCAGCAGGCCCAGAGCGCAGAGCTGCAGATCCAGAGACTGGCCCTGGAACAACAGTGGATCCACCACCATCACCACCACTCCCTCACCCAGGACGAGTATTACAGGTACAGAAAAAGTCCCTAATGGGATAAAGAAGGGACATTTTGTAGAAAGATTACTAAAAATGTTCTTTTCTCTCATCTCCCTGAACAAAATACATTTGGTTAAATAGAGTTTATTTCTGGCCCAATTGATGAGATAATGGCTGATTGACAGACATGGCGGCACAGTGGAGCAGTTGGTTCAGCAACAAGGTTGCCAGATTGACCAAAAAACATGCATGTTAGGCTAATTGGTAACTAAATTATCCCTAAGTGTGAGAGTGAATGGTTGTTTGTCTCTAATATGTGTCCCTGTGATGGACTGAGACCTGTCCTGGGTGTCCCCACCAGCCATTTTGGTCAAACCTTGTAAAAGATGTTATCTGTAATCTGAAATCTGTGCTGTGGATGACTCTTAGAGACTACCACACCAAATTTTAACTTAGTAGTTTTAAAATTGAATGAGTAGTAGCAATATTTGTGTTATTTGTGGCAGCCATCTTGAATGGGGTTGACTTCAAAAGGTAATCAGTTGTAGATGCACATCCAATTATGTTTTAAAAAGTAATGCTACAGATAAATGAGCACACACACAAATTGTTATTGTCATTTTTGGGTTTTGATCTGTGAGCTCAAAATAAACTTGTCATGTCTCAGAAATCTTAGCAACTCTTTGGAAACGTAGGGATCGTTTAAATCTTTAAACACGTGTGTGATAAACTAATAGGAGCGTGGCAGTCAGCTGCACCATTCATAGTGACTCTGAAACAAAACCGAACCTGAGCTTTTGTTTTAAACACTTACATGATTCTTTTTTTTTTTTTTTCTAGTCACCTGAAGAAAGAAAGTGACAAGACCCTGTGAGGGAGGAGCAGCCAGAGAAAAAAAACTGTGGTGCAAAAATAGAAACAAAAAAATAAAGAAAGAAAAGAAAAGCACTGAAAACAAGAGGACTTATGAACAAAACCTGGACTAATGGGCTGATTCACTGAAGGAAATGAGAAGGATGAACAAAAGACGATGGAGGGAGTGAAAATGTTGCACATAGTTCCTGCTAACTGCACCAGACTCCTGCATTTTCCTGCATTACGTTCTTTAATCTTGTTTTGTGTTCTGTACAGAATATTAAATGGAGGAGGTGGGGTGACCATAGTGAAGTCCAGTATGTGTAAAATACTTGAAGGAACGTGTACACGAGTCCCTTATATGTCGTTGCATGTAGCTAGCCGCTTATTCTGAACCGGTGGAACCTTTGGTTCTATTTTTAGTAATCCCCCCCCCCCCTCTTTTTGTATCTGAGGGGCGTTCTATATGCATGAAACCAGCATTTTAGTGTTCTGTTTTCTGATAATCGTATTGTTATTATGATTAATGTGGTCTGTTTGTTGATAATGATATATTATATATACAGCACATATTATTTGTATTATTTTTTTACATTTTCATGTTATGGCGGTCAGTTTTTATTTTTTATTTTCAATTGTGAAACAAGATGCAAATGAAGGCAAAAAAACAAAACATCTGGAAATAAATTATAATCTCTTTTTTTTGCTAGCTTTTGAATATTAATGCTTGCAGTTTCCATACATTTTCAATGTATTTGCCCTTTTTCTTTGTTTTATACAAGTCACTTGTGCACAAAGCATATCAAATTCCTCCCCCCTCCTCCCTGTCTCATCTCTCCAGCTTCTCCCTCTTTGCGAGTGTAGCTAATAGGAGACACATGGGATGAGTGTGAGACACGGGAGGTGAGTCGCTCCAGTGAACAGCAGCCACCCCGTAGAGCGAACATTCCTCACAGCGCTGCAAAAAGAAGAAAAGAGGAAAATTTTAAGGAGAGAGAAGGGAGGGTGTGATTTACGAAGGCTGCTAAGGGCTCAGGGTTGTGTGTGTTCTCACCGTGTCCCACCAGAGGAATCTCCTCCAAACCCGGTTGCGGTTCAGTGACTGTGGCCTTGACAGACTGCTGGCTCGCAGAACAAGCTTCACATTATTGCAGGGTTTAATATTTATTGATACGTCCTAGAACCCAAAGCAAAACGAAAAAATCTGCACCATTTTTCAGTAATGTAAGAGCAGGCCTTCATACTGCAGGACGAACATGACTTCAGGTTCTGGGTCATTAAAAGTCACCTTGAGCAAATGTGTCAACATTATCTTTGAGCAGGACATGTCTCCCCCCCCCCCCCCCCCCCCACCCAGGTGACTCAATATCTGGGGTTTATTCTCAGCACATCATAAGTCCTTTGTCCACAGTGGAGGGGGACAGAAAAGACCCCAGAAAGTTGGAATATCAACAAAATTTGATTATAAAGTAACTATTGTTTTTCTCAGTTAATATGCCGTGCTTAGTTTTAGAACCAGATCAAATGGTTTTACAGTGTAAGTAAAACCAATTGGAGTTTTAAACATCTCTAAATCGGGGGTCTGCAACCTGCGGCTCTATCCCTCCAAAATTAAACATAGATATGAATAATATTTAAATTTATAAACACATTAGTAAATTAAAAATATAAAGCACGATTTCATAAAAAATAATAAGTAAATGGAGATTGTTTTTGTTCACATTTATTGCAGTCACAATAAATATCCAACAAACTGGATGGTGCAAGACGTCTGCGATATCATCAAACTGCTAAACACTCTGTAACTAATGCAAAAATTAGTATGGTGTAAAATGTCACAACATAGCATTTGCTTAAAGCTCAAAGTAAAATTTTTGAGGTTTAAGATGTTTCTGGAATTTACTTTTAAACAAGTTTTCTGAGTAAATGTTTTCTTGACTCCAATTTCTCTCCATATCTCCAAACTGAAATTGCTTTAACTTCTGTCTACTGCAGGTAAGATACTAATTAGTCAAATTCTGCACTCAAACCCAGTTCAAAACTTTAATAAGTTAAAGGATCATTTGTCCCTCTTTAGCCACAACTGTCATGATTAAAGTATTTTTAAACAAGTTTTAAAAGGCAATCTTGAGTTGTGCCTCTTGAAACAAGATTAAACTATTTTTGTTTGTTTCATTTGCACTTTTATGTCTAATGCAAGCTTCCATCCATCCATCCATCCATCCATTATCTTTACCTCCTTCTTCCTTTTCGACTCACGGGGGTCACTGGTGCCTATGTCCAGCCATCACTGTGCGAAAGGCAGGGTACACCCTGGACAGGCCACAAGTCCAACACAGGACTCTAATGCAAGCTTTTAATTAAAAATGGAAAACTTTCAATCATTTACAATTTATTGATTTGATTATTTATTTATTTATTAAAATTACAGTATTTTCACAAACATTTAGAAAGTCAGAATTTCCATCTCTATGGTCTCCATCGTCCTCCTGTGTTTGGGATTTCCTCTGGACTTTGAGCTCTCCTGTGCCTCCTCAGCTGCCACTTTGCCTTCCTGCCACTTGCTTGCCTCCTTCCTGGGCTGGAACCATTACCGAACCTATTCTTTCCTCGCTCTGGAACCAGTGGGTCACCTATCCCCACAATTGACTCCAATCCTTATCGGAAGGAAGAGAAGCAACAACATTATCACCCCTGCTAATTTTAATCCATCTCCTATATTCTTCAGGGTTCCAGCTCCGCCCCTTGTACATTTGATGACATTCCACTTTTTGTAAACAAACACTAACATCTTATTGGACCTTGGGGTTTGTTCGCTTCAGTCCTTACATCTGGTTATTGCTACAATTGTTACAGGTTCATGAAATAACCAGCTTTGCTGAGCATCGATGTGAGACCAAATTAAAACCAGATTGTTTTTTGGCAGTGCGGCTGGTTTGACATGTGACATTAATTTATGCAAACTAAGCAAACAAGTCCAGGGATTAGGGTTTGACTTTCATTACATGATAATTAAAATTGCACTCTTGCAGCTCAACAGTAGCGTTATTTTAACCTAACTAGTTGATGTTTTTCTTAGTTCATATCTTAGATGTCATTACTGTTTTTCTTATACATTTTATTGTTGGATGTAACTGGGACCCTGCGTACATAATTTCTCTCCACCACATGTACCACATGAGGTGCGAATGACAATAAAGAAACTCTGACTCTGACTCTGACAAGCCGATGTACTCGTCGCTGAAAGATTTGAAGAGTGAATGTTTGCAGTTTTCAAAATGAGCATTTTTTTCTGTACTGAAATTGAACAAGGAATGCAAGTAAACCTTAATGTTTTTGGTGCAAGATATTCAAGTGGATATGTGATGCATTGTGTGTACGAACAGAAGGTTTTTATCCACCAGCAGGTGCAATGGCAGATCCAGGGAGTGGCCAGTGGTGGCCTTGGCCACCACAGATTAATCTTCTGCCACCCCAAACATTTGAGGAAACTATAGAAAAAGTAGAACACATATTTTCCTCAAATGAAACAGGTGGCCGGTTATATATAAAATATATATTTTAATATATAAACAAACAAAACAAACTATATATATATATATATATATATATATATATATATATATATATATATATATATATAGTGGAGGCCATCTTGGATTTTGACTTGGTAACCCAATTTTTGAAAGAAGTTGGCCCATTGCTTATTTTCCAAGTTATCATGCTCACTTTACATATGCATGGTGGAGACCATTTTGGATTCTGACCTGGCAAACCAGTTTCGTAAGGAAACTTTCATACAACTTGGTGTAGCCACACACCAAAATGGAAGTGGTACCTCACTTATTTTTCAAGTTATTGTGCTCGGGGGACATGGGACAACAATCACAATAGAGGGAATATTGATGCCCAATCCTAAAGATGAGACCTCCAGATTAATTTAAACTGTTTTAACACCCAGTGAAGTTTATTTATTATGCTGATGGATACCATAACTTTCTCCTTGTAATAACAGAATTAAATAAAGACATTCCTGAAAGTATTGCATTCTAGTTACATATTATAAAGCCACTGAACATATCAAAAACGTAACCTCCAAATGATACCAGTGTTGTTGAGCTGCGCTGTCACGTGTTTTTGGTTGAATGCACTGATCAATGTGGTTTAGTAGCGGACCCAAAGCTCGCTGCAGTATATGTCACTTTCTTCTTTTTCTGTTCATTGAGAACTTCACCACAGTTTGCTGCTTCTGTCAACAATTGGATCAAACTTTAAAAAGCTGACTCCAACATTCGAGTTCAGTCTGTCCCAGCTCTCGACTGTTTCTCTCATTTAGCTGCTGTAGTTCTGTTTGGATTCACTTCTGTCATCTTCAGTTTTATTGTTTCAGCCTTGGTTTCCTTCAGACAGATGTTTTCCCCAAACCGTTCAGGGTTTTCTTGTAAAATGAGAGATAGAATGGGGTGGATCTCCCCACCCACCACCCACACCCATCTTCTAATACATCACTGGAGTCACACCAGTCTGAAACGGTCTGGCTGCAGACTCATTCTGATGCCCTTTTCACTTAATTTTTTAACTTAGATAATCTTTTCTAATTTCAAATACTAATGAGGCCAACATCTTGAGGCGTTGATCAGTTTGCAACCAGCAGCAGCACGATTAAAATCGATATGAATGCACTTTTCAAACAGGTGTTTTTACAGATACTTATTTAAGACCAATACTTTTTAATATATTTTTCACTGCACCTACTGTTTATGCATGTATACATCCCTTAACAAAAAGTAGTACATTTGAAGTTTATTTTTGCAAGTATACTTTTAAGTTAAGTATATCAAGTATACTACACACCATACTTGTAGTGTACTAGAAGTATACTGATTTAATACTTGTTTGGACTAAATTGGGGCATTTTTATACTATTTTTAAGTATATCAAATAAAGTTTATAAAAAGTAAACTTCAAGCACACTTCCTCATTTTTAGTGTAAAATAAGTATACTTAAATAAACTACTTTTTGCTAAGGGATACCATTTTGTGTATAACATTTACAAATAATTGAGCAATATGAAATGTAGCCTGTTGTTCTGGGCAGTTCCTTAAAACACACACTTATCAATCAACCTTTATTTAGACAGGTAAATCCCATTGAGCCTCGAGGACTCATTTACTTAGTTTACCTTTTTACATTTAGTGAGGCAAATGTGATTGCATGTCTTACCACACTTCAGATAAAAAGATACTTGTTCTGAATGGATCACAGGAAGCATGAAAGATCAGTCTTGAGATGATAGTGCTTTGGGTTGATGGGAAATTATGAATGAATGAATGTTGCTTCTGCCACCTGCTGGAATAGAGTGGAGTTAATTTCTTGCATTTCTGCAGCACAAATGAACACACAAGAAACTGAGATACTTTTAATAAAAAAAAAGATTACTTACACATCATATTCTGCTGTTAAAGTACACAAAGTTTAATCAGCTCCATGCACATTTTCCAATTGTAATCACAACTACACACAGTTTATTACACAATACAAGCCTTTCTAATATGTTATAATCAAATCACATGTGACTATATAACTAGAAAATTCCTTAATAAATGTTGGAGGGTGGCAGCACGGTGGCGCAACTGGTAGAGCTGCTGCCTCTCAGCGAGCAGGTCCCTGGTTCAAACCCCGGTCCAGGGGCCCTTCTGGGTGGAGTTTGCATGTTCTCTCCGTGCATGCGTGGGTTTTCTCCGGGTGCTCCGGTTTCCTCCCACAGTCCAAAAACATGCATGTTAGGCTGATTGGTAACTCTAAATTGTCCCTAGGTGTGAGTGAGAGAGTGAATGGTTGTTTGTCTCGTTTGTCTCTATGTGTCCCTGTGATGGACTTGCGACCCGTCCAGGGTGTACCCCGCCCCTCGCACAGTGATTGCTGGACATGGGCACCAGCGACCCCCGTGACCCAAAATGGAATAAGCGGGTAAAGATAATGGATGGATGTTGGAGGGTGCCAATGCAGCTCCGGCCCAAAGTTTGAAGATGACTGAAAAAAATCTAAGAAAAAATGTTTACATAAAAAAAGAAGATCAGATAAGATGTTAAAGTTGCTGCTAGTGGTTCATTATGGTCACCATGGTAACCACATACCTGTGTCTGTCACTCCTAAGATAATGAGGCACCCAGAAGCAGACTAAAAAATAAGCCTCATGCCTTTGCTGTGCAGAAACTATGAGGTGAATCTCACAAATTCTTGAACCATGAGCTGCAAAAGCCTCTGATGTTCTGATGAAAAAGACCCTTCACTTCCAGTTTTGAATCCTTGGAAGCTTGGCTGTGCATGTTGCTTTCTGTCCTACAGCAGTGACACACACTGGGCAAAGGACAACAATGCCTACGTTTTGATGTGATTTGAATAAGTACCCAGAACGCTGTGCGAGTAAGAAAAGTTTTCTTGTAAAGGTTTTGAAACTTTTAGACATTTCAAAAGTTGAAGTTCATCATCTACTGTCAGTTGAACATTTTATGAAAAAATATGCAAAAATCATAAAACTTAAAATGCAATTGCATAAAAATTGTTCAAAGATATTGCAACGAAAGTTCAATCATGTAGGGTCCAACATCCTGTAACTCACTTAAACTTTGAATTATGTTTTTACTGTGAAGTATGTTCGAGTTAAAGTCTTCAAAGAAGTCTAGGTTTTCTGATCTACTTTGCCAAAAGTCCATAAATCTCCATTGTTGTTTATTTGTTGTTGCAATTTTGTCTATTTTGTGTGATGTACTGCTACTAAGTCACAGCACACTATTCCTGATTGAACATATACGTTTTGATGTATAGCTTTATTTCAAATATGTGCAATAAGATAGGTACAGGAGGAAATTTTTAACGGAATAGTACTAAGTGTGCCTTTTGCAACTTAACTAAGCCACTGGATTTTAGTGTAGATCTCATCTTTCTCCTCCCTGCAGGAGCTCATTCGGGCATGCCGTCTTTGTGCACACTTCTCATGTGTCTGCCCAGAGACTCCATCCATTTGAAGGATTTACCACAGCAATTGCAGATGAAGCGTTTCCCCTCAGTGTGGATGGTCTTGTGTCTGTTCAGAGCACTTGTAGTGATGAATGTCTTCTTGCATGTATCGCACATGTACGGCCTCTCTCCTGTGTGAGTCCTGATGTGAGCTGCCAGGTGGGAGCAGTTACTGAAGCGCTTCTCGCAAACGGAGCAGATGTAGGGTTTGTCTCTGTTCTCCTCACCGCTGCTGTTGTTGAGGAAATGCTGGAAATGTAAGGATTGCTCAGGCAGATTGGCTTTCAGATCAGTGGGAGATGACCTCATGTCTGAATCTTCCACATGTTCTTCTTCGCCTTCTGCATGGTTTATCCAGTAGTGACTGTGGGCCGACTCCTCCTGCTCCTCCTCCTCATTCTTGACCAGTGAGATTTCTGGAAGCTCTTGATCCAGACTGCTGTCCCCCTCCTCCCCACAATGATGGGGCTCAGGGGTCGCCACTGCAGGGAATGACTGATGGTGCAGCTGTTCAGGAGGAAGAGGAGCAAGGGGAGGAGAATAATGGCGGTGGTCGGAGTGCTGCTGCTGGCTTTCAAGACACTTGTTCGACACAGACTCTGAACAAAAGAAAGAGGATAACATCACAGCTACAATATTTTACTAACAAAATAACGCAAAACCGCATACCGTTTGTTCACCAGACGAATTTAATTCAGACTTACTCGACTTGAGTAGTTTCAGCTGCATTCTGAGACGACTTATTTCTAAATCTTTCGAGCGTAAAATCTCCTCCGTGTACCCGGCTATCGTCTTTTCGACGGCTTCAAATATCTCCTCCGCCACAAGAGACAGCCTCTCGTTGAGGAAAACTCTCAGCGACTGCATTCTTTTTGTATTCGTACACAGAAAACCGACGGCCCACGGACGAGCTTAAAGGACGTGTATTTTTTGCGGGTCCGTGAACGTCACGCATCGATTGTAAACACGGACGTGACCGAAGAACGCCGCGCGAGTCAAGTCAAAGCGACGGGCGCGTGACGCTACCGCCCCCTGCTGGACCGGAGAGCAACGACAACACGAACCATCTGGAAAATGTCACAACTTTAATAGAAAAAAATGTAAAATGAGTCGGGTTCTGGGTAAAATTCAAATTTAGACTTAATTTGATCATTTTAGCACATTAAAATCAGTCAGTTGGTCTCATTAAATAGGAAAAAATGTAGTGAATTAGATAAAACAAATCCAGATTCTTGAGGGTTTTTTACACTTTCCATTCTAACAAGCTTGAGTCAGGTCCTCTGGATGGATTATTTTTTGTTGAAATGTTTAATCTTTTTCAGTCTGAGGAGCTACAACAAACTCAGTCTTATAAATAGCAGCTTTTCACAGTGAATCAACAAGTTTGCTGGTGACTTCCAAAACTAGTTGTTCACATGCAAAAGAGGACCATCAACCTAACAAGTGATCATTAGTGCTCTGGTGGCAGCTGGCTAATCACAGAGGGCTGAGTGATACTTGCAATCACAGCATTGTAAGAGGGGGTCAGTTGGAACATGGAGGTCTCCGAACCTGTTTATCGATTTACGGGTTCTTTTCACAAAGATGGCCTCCTTTACTCCTCTCTCAAACCATCGTTCCTCTCTATCAAGGATGTGAACATCTTCGTCCCTAAAAGAGTGATCACTGGCTTGCAGATGAGTGTATACCGCAGAGTCCTGATCTGATGATGTTGCTCTTCTGTGCTGGGCCATCCTTTTGGTCAGTGGCTGTTTAGTTTCCCTGATGATCACAGCCCACCTGACACTGAACAGCGTACACAATATTACTCCGTTTGTGCTGTGGGACTGAATCTTTGGGATGAAAGTCTTTGCCATAATATATTTTGGGGTTTGGAAACCACTGGGATGTCATGTTTAGAAAATAAACATCTTAGTTTCTCTGAAACTTCCACGACATACTGAATGACCATTGGTCTGGGTTCCTCATTTTCACCTGATGGCTGGAGTCCTGTTTTGGTTTCCTCTCACCTTTCAGGAAGGCCCAGTTAGGATATCCACATTGCTCCAGGGCCTGTCTTGTGTAGGATTTATCCTGCTCCCTGGCTCAAGTGTGGGGACATTGTCCACTCTGTGGTACAGAGTGCTGATGACTCCTAACCAGCTCCAGCAGGTGATGGACTGAAGAAGTCTTGGATAAAAGACAAAACGTTTTAACAAGAAAAGAATCGGTCCAGAGGACCTGACTCAACCTTGTTAAATACATGCACTGTACAGTAAATTAACATTTAATGTAAAACTGATAGGTGTAAAGGTTTAAAGCTGAAATAGCACTTGCATTATCTGCTATAAAATTTTTGTTTTGCTTTTCAATCCGGTCAAAATTAAAGTTTATTTCTTCAAATTAAGGTAATTTGAACAGCCATCATTAACAGGTAAGATACTTATTAATCACCGTTCCACAGTTGTTAAATTTATCTACTTGGATTATTGAGAATTCATCAGGATGTGTACTCTTCTTTCTTAATTGCCTTCACATTTTGGTTTGACTGAAAGTTTTTGGTTTATACCTGAACAAATGTTTTGGGAAAAGGTTCTCAGTTGTACAATTTTGTAGTTTCACAATTCCTTCTTTTTCTCCTGACTGATCTTTTAAACTTCCATTCAACATGTTTACTGTACAAAATCGTCTATGTTTGCTCTACGTTATCAGCAGTTTTAGCTCACGTCTGTGGACGTTTCCACAGTGAGATTGTACAACAGAGCCTGCAAATATGTGAGGGAGCAAATATTTGATCAGAACCTGACTTACTGCAGATTACAAAGAAGGTTTTGCCCCTTAATTGTGGTAGAAATATTTCTTGCAGCATAATTGTTTGCTGTATGATGCTAAATTAGCAGGCTTTCTTCTTTAATTAGCCTCTAATAAAATCCTAAATAACTTCTTTGTGTTCAAGAAAATCTTCATCTATAGCGAAATACTTATTAAACAAATTAAATTGACACGTGAGTTTTTACCAGGCAAAGCTGCAGCTTTTCCGTTTTTAAACTTTTATCTGCCGTCTCAGCTTTGGGATAAAAAAAATAAATAAAAAAAAAGCAAAGTGCTTTGATGCATTTTCACTTAAGTAATTGGAAACCTTCTCCCCACTGTTATATAAAATATATATGTGTGTGTAATGTTTGGATGTAAACTCAAGGTACAAAATTCAGCAAGGCAAAAACAGCACACTGACATAGCCTAAACTCTTTATTATAGTATTTTCTTACAACCGTTCTTTCCTTTAATTAAACGGCCACACTATGGGTAACGTGTAAGGAGTACTTTCCTCTCAGTAAAACAACCAATAAGAAATGGATCATGCACATCTACAGGGGAAGTCAAAGTCACAGACACACATTACACAAAAAACACCAGTACAAAGACAAACAAAAAGGTACAAGTGCTGTGACACCATTCCTCAAAAAAAAAAAAGTTTGTAAACTGTTCAAGTAAGGGAGTGGACTGCCTGTCCACTTCTAGGTGTCAGCCTTTACAGCTTGAGCACTTGGTGTGGAAGTTTGTTCTCAGTAGACTTATCAGTGCAGTACAATGTATGTGTCAGCCTGTCCCTTCTTCTTTGACAAAATGTACCAAAAAAAAAAAGGGGGGGGGAATGACAACATTACACAATTACTTTGAATAAAAAGAGGGGGAGGAAGTATGAGTGTAAGGGATAAGGGAACCGTATCCTCTAAATGGAGCTCATCTCGTCGGGGTTTTATGCCTTGGCGTTGATGATGTCAATAAATTCTGACTTGAGGGAGGCTCCGCCCACAAGGAAACCATCAACATCCTTCTGGGAGGCAAGTTCTTTGCAGGTACCACCGGTTACAGAGCCTGAGAAACAGCATTGATATATGTGAAAAGACTGATTTCAGAAAATGCAACATTTTCCCATAATCCGTCCCAACCATGAACTCACCTCCGTAGATGATCCTGACTGAATTGGCCACAGCATCGGACACGTTGGTCTTCAACCATGCCCTCAGTTTCTCGTGAACTTCCTGGGCCTGAGATATCACACAGGAGATGTGTTTGAGGCTGCAACCCTGGTAGTCCTTGTGTAGAAATACTTAGCAGTTTTTAATATTTACCTGCTGTGGGGAGGCGGTCTTGCCGGTGCCGATGGCCCACACAGGCTCATAAGCGAGCACAACCTTGCTCCAGTCCTTTACATTGTCTGCCAAAGAGATAAGACTTAAATTGGGATTTTGCAAGTATTCCGCATTCAGCTCAGATAATGGAAGCTGCGTACCTGCGATGACTTTAGTCTGGGCAAACACCACCTTCTCCGTGATGCCTCCCTCCCTCTCGTCCAGCTTCTCGCCGATGCAAGCGATCACGCCAAGACCGCTCTCCAGAGCATGAGCAGTCTTCTGACCAATAAGCTGATGCCACGCAGAACGAGAATAAATTTAAACTGTTGTTTTTTAGGGGTTTAATGTGAGAAGATCTACATTTGACTTTTGCAAACCTAGCCTTACCTCATCGCTCTCTCCAAAGACGTGGCGCCTCTCGGAGTGTCCCAGGATAACCCAGTTGACACCACAGTCTTTGATCATCGCAGGGCTGGAGGCAGAGGATGGACAGAATGAACACAAAATTGTCACAGCTGTGTGTTTAAACCACACAATAAGATTAGCCTCTTATTACCTGATCTCCCCAGTGAAGGCACCCTTAGAAACTTTGTAGCAGTTCTGAGCTGCCACGCCAAACGTGGCGTCCAGATTGGACCTGGCAAAGTCCAGGTAGATGGACGGTGCACCACACACCACCTCTGTTAATGTAGAACACATTGGTTAGGTTAAGGATTTCTAGTCCATATTTAAATGTTGCCTATCGTATACAGTAGGTATTAATAATGTGAAGATGACCATTAAAAACTAAAGACTAATACTTATCAATAAATGCAGATTTTTAACTGGTTAATTAATTAAAATCTGAACAATTAAATATATGCTTTTAAGTTGTTTGGATGCAATAAATAAAATGCCACAAACACCTAAAATTATGCAGTAAATATCATTTAAATGCTTTTTCCCCCCTCATGGTATAAGTAGGAAACTTTTCAAGACAAGTGGAGACATTGACATTCACAATGTAACTATATCTTTGGGGTTACGAGGATCTATATTAGACACTGCATGTTATTATTGGTTTAGCAAAGGTCATTTATCTTGGATCCGAGTCAAGTGCATTAAAAAGGAAAAGGTCATCAGAAGGGCTGCATTCTGCAGAGGTCATGACAAGTCAAGAGCCTGGGTTCAAAGGGGTCAAATGGATCAAATATACAACATGAAGAACAATATTTGAAGGGTGAAAATGAACTCTGACGCTGAAAAGGACCGTGGGGAAATGACCCAGCTAGGATTTCAGTCTGGCACTGTTATGGGGGGTGGATTTGTTAAGAGACCAAGGTCCAAATAATAGTATGCACAGTTGCACCTGAATGGATCCAGTCTGGAACTGGCCAAGTCAATATAAGAGTTGCATAATGCAAACTGGCCAGAACACATTCAATAAGCTGCGAGAGAGGGCCTTTGAAACAGCTACTGCTGCCTCTTTCTGGTTTGCAGAAGCAGACAGCAGGCGATGCATTCAGGTCACGTTAGGAAAAACAAAATTCAAACATTAGAACTTCACATACAAGCCACTGATAGACAAAACCTACTTAATTGAGCTTTATTTGGACTCCTACTTTGACTGAAACCTCCGTGACTGAAACTGTATAGTTTTGCTGTTCATTAGACTTTACGCAGCAGGCTGTGGAATGAATGAAGCCTCGGTAACCACAGGGTGAACTTGAATGCACCCTGACAGTAGCTGGACTACGTGCTGCTGAAAACGCAACACCCACCTCCGACATTATGGAAAAAACCCTGTTCGTCCTTCATCTGTGTCCCTGCCGGTCTTCATGGTTGCTTAGCGGTTTAATTAAGTAATTGAAAGCAAAAAACAAAATAAAACAATACGCAGAATTCAGCTTTTATAAACAGTTTGAGGTTTATGATGCTAAAGGTGTCCTTGAGTTATGGAATGACCGACAAATTTTGGTCGATAAACGTAGCTTGTTTTCGAAATGAAACAGTGAAAATTGTACAAACATCGGGGTTTAGCTTGACTAAATTAATCAGAAGGTGTTGAATGTTTTGAATTAAATCGACCAGCTGCTGTTAAAACCCGCACATACCGACATTAGGGTCCACCTTGGCTCCGTTCAGGGTCTGGATGAGCTCCCCGAGGCTTTTCTTGTCGCCGTTCATCTTCCAGTTTCCACCGACGAAGAATTTCCTGCTCATGTTTGCGAGTTATTTTAGAGGATTTGCTAAAAAATATAAAAACAGAACCGACACTACAAGAACACCTTCGTCTGGGGCAAAAGAGCGGACGATAGAGGGCGGCTCAACGGATTTATAGCTCGGAAACAAAACCCCTCCTCTCCGTCGAGTGATCAGAAACGCTATTGGTTTGAGGCGGAACGCCCGTAAACGCATCATCCTGGCGGAGGAAGCAGAAAGTCATGCTGCATTCAATTGCTGTGGGAAAACATCCCTCACAAGGACTAACGCCCCTTTGAGCTTCAAATAACCACTCAAAGTTAAACAACACCAAACACGTACCTAAACGCAACATATATGTTGAAAATAACACATACTACAGAAGTTTTGCTCACATTTTTCTGCTACATGTACAAGTTTATGATTAAAACTTTAAAAGCTAACAAATGCATTTATGTTGTACTCAGCTGTCCAACATTACAGAGTCCGAGCTCTATTTTTAAAGAATATAAATCTTAAAAGATAACATACTTTGACAAATACATACATATTTTTGTCAGTTAGTAATGCAGTGATGTAACACACTTAGGATTAAAAAAAATCTTAATGCTGTTCTCTCCAAATCAGTTAATTTCAAAAGTGGGTCACTAACTCAATTTCAGTTCGTCTGGCTGGGCCTGGAAAAAAAAAGTTAAAAATAAATAAATAAATCAGCATTGTTAAGGTTGATTTACCACTATGAAGGTTGTTATGTCAGCCTTAATGGGTAAATAATTGACCAAAAAAATCTTAGTAAGACATCACTTGTTAAATTTTCAGTAGGTGGATACTATAGCTACACACTTTGAGTCGTTTTAAAACTACCCAGTGGTCAGAGTTTTATATTTCATGTTTGTGTGTAAAAGTGCTGCTGAGTTTGTAAAACAAAAACAATATTAATATTAATATCATTCATAGTGAAGAACTATGTTGCCCCCTTAAATGCAAAAATGGCCTTATGTTTCAGTAGGTAGGTTACTAAGTGCCAATTGCAATTAAAAAGTCAAGATTATTATTTAAATGACTTAACTGCACTGCATTAAAATTAATTTACATATACAAATAGTTCTAAACGTATTACTGCAATTGTTCTGACTGATCAATAAAAAAATACATATAAAGTTTATATAGTTTGTGCTAAATAACCTAAAAACTTTAATTTCACTGTATTCATAACATTATCTTCGTGTCCAACAATTCTTAATAAAAAGGACAAATATTAAACATGATATAGTCAATTTTCCTGTGTCTGATTTGCCAATAAGATGCTTAAATCTGTGATTATAAGAGTCCACTAATTTGCGATTTTGTTAAAAATTAATAATACAATCCACATTTCTCAGCAGAGTAACTGCCTGGGTCTAACGCATATGAGCAAATGATTTCTAGGAGCTCACAATAAACGCTCAAGACGCTCAAAAGCTAACAACTATCTTTACTTTTCTTTTTGTCTTGAACTTTTTTTTTTAAATCTTTACTTGAATTATATATAAGTGTGTGTGTGTGTGTGTGTGTGTGTGTGTGTGTGTTTACACGACTTGAACACGATTTTTAATATCCTGATTTTATTCTGATCTGGCATCTAAGATAGTTTTTTTTTTTTGCCACGAATTTCCTGAGCACGTTCAAAAGCATTAATAACAAGATAGTTGATTGGCTGAAACGAAACAAGTCCCGCCTACTTATCCACGAGAAACAAGAAAATGTTCTGATTGGACAATGTCTAGAATACTTTCGATGCTGTTCAAATACCCAAAGTGCATTGCTGCAGAACTTAATTATATTTCACGTTTCACGATTTAAACAAAATTATTTTTACGTAATATTTGTTGAACTTACTACAATTGGTAATGTCTTTTAATTTAAGCGTTTTAATTTAACAAAAAAACCGTAATTAAAATATGTAGATCACTTTTACTTAAGTTGAATAGGCCTGACGATCTGGTTGAGGATTCTAGCTCTTTAGATATTTGTCTAGTAGGTTTCTCATAATGAGAAGCCCCCTCATTCTGTTGAACATCAAACAAACAAACAAACAAACAAACAAACAAACAAACAAACAAAGAATTAATTATACTTGAACTAACCATTTACGGTTTTAGCTGAAAGATCCCTGAAACTGCCAAACAGGTAAATTAGCTTATAAATAATTAAGATAAATTATACATAGAAATGTATGATTAGAGAACACACTATTTAAATTCAGTAACATGATATGACCTAATAACTTCATTAGTTTGGTAATATTTGGGCACATTTCTAAACATCTTTTTTGTAATGCTTTAAATCTATACCTTTTTTTTTAACTCTTAAGACGATAAGTCATAAGGTTCACCCATGTTAAACTTTATTAACCTCTCGGTAGGCTGATGTAAGTCCCGCCTTCCTTCCTCAGGCTACATGTCAGCAACCAATCACCATCAAGCTTGCAGCATCCATATTTATGTCTATGATCCATACCCTGAGACACTGAATTCACTGCAAACTCAGATAGTTTTATGCTTTTTAATAGTTATTAAAATAACATCTGGGGTGTTAGAATTTATTAATTTAATTCACAAAAATTAATGATCTAAAATAAATTTAGATATATTTTTTTAATTTATTTAAACGTCTTTCACATTTATAGTTGTAGTTCTCATATGTGACCACATGAGGGCGACTTTTGACCACTTCACACGATGGTGCGTTTTAGGTGAAAATAGTTTGTGTGAACATCTCTCCCCTTCACTACGCGTGCAACTGCTTGGGCGACGAGATTTTAATCAATTAAAAAAAATACAATTAGTGTCGATAACAGTTTTGATTTCCTGAATGAGAACAGAATCTTTGTCGGAGGAGATGATTTGACAGTTGGAACGCGCCGCCTCCACCGGACGGACCGAGCCTTTAAAAGAAGCGGAGCCCTCGGGAAAGTTCAGTGAACCGTTTCGTTCCGCCCACAAGAAAGATGGCGGCTCCCTTGCTGGAGAAACTGTCGGAGTCTTTGGGTTCTCCGGAGCCAGCGGTTCGACTCATTTTATCCATTTTAATCGGTGAGTTTCGCCTCGTGGGTCGGTGGTTTGTGTTAGCGGGAGGAGCCGCCGCCGTCGAGCCGGGTGGCGTGTTTGAACGCCTCCTTCTTGCTCCGTGTAACTGTCTGTACCAGCTAACTCATTGAAGCAGTCTGCAAAACTAGACACCGGGGCTTTATTTGTAATATTTGATCACCTGGAGTGCTCCTAAACCTTCATACCTCACCAGCACTGATGCAAGTTGACAGGGGAGCTGTTTTTGTTAACTGTTGCACCCTGACACGCCAGGGACAGAGACATTGATGAAACTGGGCTGCAGGCTTTGGGGTAAAGAAACGTGTCATAGGGGGGAGGGAGACACTTTGACATGTGGGAATGTGCACAGGCTGCCAAAATATGCCCACCAACTCCTCATTTCCCACATAAGTGAGTATAGGGCATCACCACTGCTTAATAAAGTTGGGCTTACCCTGAGAGCTGCTGGTTTCTTACTGGTTTTCAACATGCACTTGTGTTCAGGGTGCACATGGAGTTCTATTTTTACCAGCTCCAGTTTTGAGTTCACTCTGACATCACCTCAGAGGTGTCAGAGCTGGTTCCAGGTTTCAAGCTGAATTAGGAAATGGTTGTATATTTAATAAAAGTGTTGAAGAGTTTGCCCTCCAGCAGGGTCAATAAATGTTTGTGGCTCTTTAGACTGGGCTCCCTGTGTGAGGTTATCTATGAATTTTGCCCCCAACGTGTGCATAATTGTCCATGCACGCACAGCAGCAGTACAATAAGACTCCTGAACACGAGCATTTATATTAGACTTTGATTGCACTAACGCGATGAGTCAACCTCATGCACACTCTTTGGCACAGTTGGCCAACTCTGCCCTGTGAATTGCTTAATGTGTGTTGCATAATGCCGCAGTCGAGTAGTAAGGAACTCGCACAACTAACGTTGATTAGTTTTTTGCGCTTTTCATTTGGCTTTTTGTTTCAGTAAGATGGCCTCGTTGGAAAATAAAATGTATAAAAAAAGATTTGACGGTTTTATTTCAGTTTCCTTTGTGGTTTTGTGACTCCAAAGCAGCTTGGAAGACCCTGCCTTCATATTAGAGATGATTTGATCGGCAGCACCTGATTTCCTGGACTGCAGCATTTTTATATGAAATGTTTTATATTTTTATCGTTAAAAAAAAAACCACCGTCCTAATCTGTCTATCTTGGCGTGCTTGACTTGACAGATGTTTCTGTGGTACTCTAAACCCAGTCTTTATGTTTGTCCTTTAGACTTTGGATTAATAGATCAGAAATATGGAGCTGGAGCAACGCGAGTCGTTAAAGCAAATCTAATCTAGTGGAAATAGCAAATTTTCAGCAAGACTGAACGTTATACAAAATAAAAAGAAATATGACTACGTACATGCTTTAATGAGTTCGACTTGAATTAATTGTATCTTTGGGACTTTTTGGGACTTTTCACATTAAAGTAGGTTTGATATTCACTGAAGAACGACGTCTAGAGACTCATCACAGTTTATACACAAACTTATTGACTATCATCCGTTCATGTCCTGATTCGTATCTGTGGTCGGGTGGCAGATCATGGAACAGGTCCAGGTGGGAAACCCAGACCCTCATCTCTCCAGCAACATTCCTCTGCTCCTGCTTGGAGGGGTCCCAAGGCGTTCCCAGGCCAGAGAGGGTACAAAGTCCTTCCAGCCAGCTCTGTCTTCTTCTTAGTGGGATGTGCCCAGAAAACCTCTAGAGTAGAATAGGAGGCGTAGTGTAGTCTCACACTTGAAACACCTCAGTGGACTTTTCTATGCGAAGGAGCAGCAGTTCTCTGAGCTCCCTCTGAGTCATGGTTCTCCTCACCTCATCTCCAAGGCTGAGCCCGACCATCCTACAGAAGAAGTTCATTTGTCAAACGTTTCAGCTTGTATCCAGAAACACTGCATTCAGGTTCTTTTCCGTTTTGTTAGGATCCACTCGTCATGACTATAGGTGGGCGTTGCTACGTAGACTGACCAGTAAATAGAGAGCTTTCCCTTTCAGCTCAGCTCCTTCTTCACTACGGCAGCCAGGAGCAACACCCTCATTACTGCAGTGCAGACCGAGCCTTGATGTGCCGAGTCCTGTCATCGCTCGTGAACGAGACTCGCAGCTACTTGAACAGGACTCGTTTTGTTTATGCGTCACACATTTTAACCACCAGGTGACTTGTTAATAACAGGGTGTGTAAACCGTGGTTCACTTGGGGTGTTGATGTACCGCCACAGTAACATATTTTCTGTTTTTGTTTGTCATTCGCCTGCAGGGTATCCCTTTGCTCTTCTGTACCGGAGGTTCCTCTTCTACCAGCATGCCTCAGTCATCCACTTGTTCCACATGTTCTCCGGATTGGCGCTAGCTGCATTCAACTTTGGTGAGACCAAAAGGACGATGACCTGTGGGTGGAAACACCTGCAAAAGCGTTTAGCTCGTGGTATAAATGTATATTTATCAGCTGACCTGATGAGACTCGCCAACGGATCAAATGTTTTGCCTGGACATTTGATTATAAACTAAAGCAGAGCTTTCACTTATCTTGAATTATTGATTAATTTCATCCACGTTCACCTGCTGAGTCACCTTTGTCTTTGTGTCCTGCGTTGCTGGATTTCTTGTTTGAATAACGTTTTAAAAAAAGGACATTTTTTTAATTTGTTCAGGAATTGTAGGTGTCAAAGTTTGGACGATTTTCTCATTCAGAAGGCGACGGACCTTAAAGCTGAATGATGAAGTTTAAAATCAAAAACCTGTTCATGTCGTTTAGTTTTCAGAAGCTGAAGATGAAACAAGTTGCTTTTTTTGTGTCCAAATCCAAAGATATTAAGTCCTATCGGGTACAACAAGGGCGCTTAAAGTTTAATTGAACGGCTGGGCTAGCATGGCTGGCTGACAACTTTAAAGTTGTTTATAAGAAGCTAAATGATCCAAAGAAAGTGGGGAAAATGCAACAACGAAATGCAAAATCATTTGAGTTCATGTCTGAAGCAGTTCCACATGTTGGAGATGTTTACAGACTGCAACATGAATGCACTGCTGGTTACATCCTTTAACTGAAACTATTCCTTTTCGTGACCCCTTCATAAAACCAGGTAGTGGATTAAAACAATCAGATGGTTCATCTTATTTTTGAACCTGTAGCCTCTGGTAACATCTGATGTTATCCGTGCATCTGCAGATGAGGCGGAGTGTTTTGCATATGGATGAATCATCAGCTTCTATCAAGTAATTTCTGAGGAAGTACACGTGGTTCTTTTTTATTTTGCCAGCAGGTTTGAGCTCTAAAAATGCACGTTAATCTCATGCACGTGGTCCAGACATGGTTCCCCATATGTACAATCCAGCTCGGTTACTGCTCGTTCTTTTCTGGCTTCAACAGGAAGCAGAAGTGGGTCAAACTAAATAAAACGTCTACATTGCTAATGGTGGTCACACTTTAACAGAGTGAAAGGATGTGTGGTTGAGTCCGCTCATGGTCGAGTTAAACGCAAACGTAAATGTTTCTCTTCTCTTTATTCTCCCGCGCCTTCACTTGGATTTTACAGCAGGTCTGTTGTTTTACCTTCCTCCTTCAAAGCTCGTCTAATTTAAAGTTGTGTTCCTGTTTGTGTGTTTACCTTTCTGAGCCGACGCTGAAATGTGCAGAAGCAACGTTGCTGACACATTCAGTCCAGCAGGTCACGCCCGACCGCACTCACCTTCATCCTCTTCGACTCCCTTCCCTTCTTCTCTGCTCCCCAGGCTCACAGCTCTATCACTCCGTAACATGCGTCTTTGTCCAGTTTTTGATGCTGAGGCTCATGGGGAGGACGGTAACAACTGTCCTGTGCAGTTTCACCTTTCAAATGGTGAGCTCGTTTTTGTTTTTTCCTCTAATTTTGGGATGCAGATGCTTCTTATTTGTACCACACATCATATTGTTCGCTCTATTTTGTGATCAGTTAAAGGCCTTTTTGTTTCCTGCAGTGAGGAAATGTCACAAAAATGACCTACCGTAGTTTTCGGACTATAAGGCACACTTAAAATCCTTTAATTTTCACCTAAAATGACGGTGAGCCTTATAATCTGGTGCGTCTTATGTATGAAAACAGACCCGTTCATTGATATTGCCCTTTATAGTCCGAAAAATACGGTAAGTTGTGTGTCTGCACGTTTAAAAAAATAAAAATAAAATCTCCATAAAAGCACTGACGGGGTGCCAAAATATGTTACATGAGCATCACCTCTCATTTTCTTCAGTGCAGATTAGAGACTTCACAAATATGTTCGGTTTGCACGACGACACAAACACCAGTAATGTTGAGTATTTGAGCGTTCAGCTTATTTTAACAGGCTTCTGTGTTCGTTGGTTTTATTTCTTTCTCACATATTACACAAAAACAATTTACAAAATGCAATCTCTGCCATAAATGCTCCATTTTTTTTAGGACACAAGAGTTAGAAGTTTGGATTTGATTTATTTTTTGCATTAAAAAGGTGCAACGTTTACAACACCGGCTGCTTTCCTGTAAAAGTAGGAGACTTTGGTTAAATTGGTGCAGCACTTTTTCCCTAGAGGGCTTCTCTCTCCTCAGTAGAAATGGTAAAAAATAATAAAAAAGGCTAGTGGTGCTTCGAAAATGCTACAAGGACAGCTTTATTATACAAACTGTTTCGAAATACGGACTAATCTCAGGAAAGAGACACACTAAAACATGTGGGTGAAGCAAAAGCTTTGCTGAGAATATCCAGGTGATGTATTGGAAAGTTGATGCAATTTAATTATTTTGTGAGACCGCAAATATGTTTTACACTTAAACATATACAGTTAAACACAAGTCTTCCTTCATTTCCAAGGTTTTATGAATAACATTATAAAAAATAATCTGGTTCTCGACAGCTCCTAAAATGAGGTAAATACAGCGTTAGAACAAAGAGTAATTTTTACTTACTGCGTATTTAAAGAATACGCAGTTTGTGATAAATTAAACGTAACTTTACTTTTTTCTGCTGAGATTAAGAGGACAAAAAAAGCAGATATGCTATCTCAAATGCACTTTATTAGCTCATCATCGGCATGTGCCAGCTCGTCCATAAGACCAGATGTTTCAGATCCAGATGTCAGTCTTTATAATAAGAGGGGATGATCTAACCAGGTCTGAGGTCAGACTGTGTAATCCTCTAAAAATTACAAGAAACCCAAGAGCTCTGCAGGCTCCAGTTGGCTCGATGAATGTTAGCATTGTAAAATAAAATATATATATATTTAGCAACAGACCAAACAATTACGACTTGTTTCTAAAGGTTGCAAGGAGAAAGCTTGCTTTGTCTAAAAGAGCATCTGAGCACAGCTTAGTGTGAAACGCACAATTCTTTGAATAGACCAGATCAGTGTGCAGATGTGAACCATGTAAAGCAAATCAGTACAAACTATTCATATTAACTGCTGCGCACGGAGGTGGAAGGCTGATGATCTGGGATTGTTTTGCAGCCACTGTGCACCTTGTAGTCTCCTCTGTATACCAGAAAATATTCAATCAACTTTTAGCTGCGACTGGTTTGTGCAGCAGGACCGTGATCCGTAACAGAAACAAATCAGGTCGATGCAGCACGTGAATTCTGTTTATTTTTCTTGTTGTCCTTGTTTTTTTTTTTTTTTTTTTTTCAGTCAAAGTTCAAACCTAAACTCTGATCAAAGGCTGTGTCTTTAGAAAAAACTGCATAAATCAGAAGCGATGTTTTACTAGAAGTGTGTTCAAATTCCCCACAGGGATGTGAGCGACTGATAAAAGTCACGTAGAAAAAATATTCCTTCAAGTCGTCGCTGCTAGAAGCTGTTTACGAGTGACTAAATCATTAGGTTGGAGTTTCCCCACAGTGCTTTTGGGTTTTAACATAGTTTTGTTAAAAAAGGACATGCTGTAAAATATTATAAAACCTCTATATATTAAAGAGGCTGAACGTAATTCCTTCCATTTTGCAGTTATTTAAGTGTTAAAAGTATCTTTGTGCACTTTATATATTTTGCAAGTAATTTTAACACTTTATTGTAAGATTGAGACGAATATAAATAAATTCTTTTGTCCTGACACTAATGTGGGATTTGAAGTAGCTTTAATTTACTGTATGAATGTTTTTTTCTGTAGGTATACCTGCTGTTAGGGTATTACTACACAGCAACAGAGGAGTACGACATCAAGTGGACGATGCCTCACTGTGTTCTCACACTCAAACTTATTGGTGAGTTGAACGCAGCTCACTTTGTGCTCCGTTGAATTCAAAGGTTTTTACGAAGCGCGCTGCCTCTTTCTGTTATTGTCTGATTTGACGGTTGCCGTTGATGCAAAGCTTCTGTTTTCAACACGATTGTTTAGCCGGTGACGCCTGCTACATTTTCTCATCGACAGGTTTGGCGTTTGATTACTATGACGGTGGGAAGGATCCAGTGAGTTGACTGATTTTTATTTTGTTCAGTTTATTTGACAGGGACGTTGCACACAAACGTAGAACAGAACAAGTCTGTGACTGATGTGTTGCACAAAGAGTATGTAGCTGTTGCTAATTCGCAACTCCAGTCCCTGGTTGGGCATTTCTACCCATTAAAATGCATACAATCAAAATACAGTAAGAATACCTACGTATTCCTGCCTACATATTCATGTAATCAACCCAACAACCTCCAAATTCATATAATAAAAACTATACATTAAAATACGAACAATTTACAAATCTAGGTACAATTAAAAAACACAACATTTTCCTCTCTACAAATTCTAAAATAACCTTGCAACCCCCACATTTACATAAATATGTACTCATCCAATACTCATCCATAAAATCTGAGTATTAGAAATGAAAATTTGTGTGATGATCACTGGTTATGATGCTGACGGTTTGTCTTTGTCAGCTCTTGTGGCTAGTTCTTGGTTTTTTTATGCTCCCGTTTTCTAAAATGTGGAAGAAACATGAAAAACACACCAACCCCTAAACATCAGGCTCCAACAAAACGAAAGGACAAACTATGGAGGAGGAAGATGAGAATGTGATAAATGCTCAATAGCAGGTTGGGCCTCTGTGTTACTGTGATCATTTTTATTTATTACAGCTAAAATAAGATTTTAAAGAAATATAAGTAATATTATGTTTATACAAAACTTCTATATCTATCTCGCTGAACCAACTGAACACATGACGGTCTGCAATACAAATGTTTCTAACAAAAGCCTTTTTTGTGTTCAAAGGACCTTGTCTGACCTTTTGCGCCTTTTTGTCTCGTATCAATTCAGATCCTATCAGTTCAGGATCTCTGCTTTAGCTGCATGTATCTGTATAAACGGCAAAACTCTTTCCTTCAGATGGTTCAGTGGTTGGCACTGGTGCCTCACAGCAAGAAGGTCCTGAGTTCAATCCCCGGTTGGACCTGGGGTCTTTCTGTGTGGAGTTTGCATGTTCTTCTCGTGCTTGCGTGGGTTTTTTCTGGGTACTCCGGTTTCCTCCCACAGACCAAAAACATGCATGTTGGGCTGCCTTCAGGTCTCCCTTGCAAAAGAGATCTGTGATCTCATTGAGATTTCCCTGGTTTAATAAAGGTTAATAATAATAATAATAATAATAATAATAATAATAATAATAATAATAATATAATAATAATAATAATAAATAAAACACTCTAACCCTGACTTACCTTTTTCCTTCTTTTTGATGTCATTTTTACCTGCCTGTTTTTTGACTGAGCAAATTAGCGACTGTTTTTATTTCCTCGCCATCTTGTTGTATTTTTGTTTTAAACTTAGTTTTGCTGAACTTTCTCATTATTTTCTCCTCCGTGTAAATTACTTTTAGTTGATGTGTTAATATTGCTCCCATTTTCTTTGTCCTCGCATCTTTAAAATCCAGTCTCAGCTGAGCGCCGAGCAGAAAAAGAGCGCCCTGCCTACGGTGCCTTCGCTGCTCGAGGTTTTCGGCTTCTCCTTCTTTTACGGCGGCTTCCTGGTGGGTCCCCAGTTCACGCTGCGCAGCTACCAGAGGCTGGTGGGGAGGGAGCTCACCGACTGTCCTGGAAAGATTCCCAACAGGTGAAATGGGAGAAAAAAAAAACAACTTACGAGTGACAAAGAGAAAAATGAGTTCAGACACAATCTTAATTAGATCTGTGTTTAAAAAGACAAAGTGACCTTCCAGTGTCTCAGACCTTCCAGTTAACATTTCTCTTCTTTCTTATCTTTTCATTCCTGTTCCAGCGTTCTACCAGCCATGAAGAGGTTCTCCCTGGGTTTTCTCTGCCTGGTGATATATGCAATATTTAGTCCTTCTTACCCAGACAGCTACTATTTAACAGATGAGTATGAGGTGAGAATAAGAACATGATGTGCAAACAATCTCTAGCAGTCTGTCGACAGGACCGACGAGTTCTGCTTCATATTTATTATTTCTAAAAACTGTTTCCTCCCCGCAGGCTCAACCATTCTGGTATCGCTGCGTGTTCATTCTGCTGTGGGGAAAAGTTATTTTATATAAATACGTCAGCTGTTGGGTTATAGCTGTAAGTAGACCTGTTTTTATTTGCCTAATTATTAAGAGCAACACAAATTGTTGGCCTTTGTGACCTAGAAGCACTGTATTTATGAATATATTTAAAAAATTAAAGACCTAGACGCCTTTAGGCCAGAGTTTTGACTAAGATCACCTTGTGTAAAGAAATGACGGCGTGGCTGTTTTAGTAAAATAAAATAAAAATTATATATATATATATATTTGTCAGTCTTGTGTAATAACACTAGATGTCTAGGGAACAGTATATGTTGTGAATAATTCTGTTACTACCACAGTAAAGTAGTGTTTTATAAATAGTGGTAAAAAAAAAACAACTAATTTAATAAAAACTAATTTTTTTTTAAGAGTTGGTAAGTTTTTCAGTCATCAAGCTGCAGATGCCTACAGGAGGCAATGCTGAGGAGGCACACCGTGAGAGATATCTGTGGAAAATTGTTGCAGAAAATAAAACCGAGAGCTTCGGGCTGACCTGAACGTTGGAGCTGGCTTCAGCTCAAAGATGTACTTCAGACTAAACCAAGGGGTACCTCAAAGGTCAGAGGACACTACTTGTGAAAGAAAGACAAAGGAAAAGTAAAGTTTGTAAAACTTTTCATAGATTATCGCAAAAACACTTTATTTTTGGACAGAAGGAACTAAAGTTAAGCTCTTTGAGGATGCAGTGCAACTGAAAAAAGCTTCATGCAGGGAAACATGGTGGAACAGTCGTACTGTTTGGATGCTGTGCAGCTAAGATTTGCTCCGTTAAGATTTGCTACAACGGAGATTTAGGGCCACGCTAAGAAAAAATAAAACTAGAAGCCATAAAATTACGAGAATAAAGTCGTACAAGACTTGTTTTTTTTTTGCAGCTCTCGTTTACTTAAAAAAAAAAAAGTTCACGAGTCAGATCCACTATGTGACCTGTCAGTCAATCCATTAGGCGTGTCAGCAAATGACCAATCCGAAGCTAAATGAGTCGTAATATTATCCGAACTCTGACACGATAAAGCAGGGTTTACTGCATTTTAACTGTGGTAAAATGAAGAATGTTGAGCATCTTGTTAAGTTATACTTTGGTGTTGGTTTTACAAATAAGGAGATGGTTAATCTGTTAGCACATCAGCATCAGATTATTATCAGTATCAGGACTTTGAACCTGCGTACAGTAAGGTGGTACACTCTGATGGGCTGCGGCAGCTCTCTGCAGGTGAGGAGCATTAGCTTCGGATTGGTCAGTTGCTGACACACCTACTGGATTGATTGACAGGTCGCAAAGTGGATCCGACTCGTGGAAAAATAAAGAAATAAACGTGAGCTGGAAAAAAAAAAGTCTCGTACGACTTTGTTCTCGTAATACTAAAACTTTATTCTCATAATTCTACGGCTTTTATTTATTTTTTCTTAGCGTGGCCCTAAAGCTCTGTCGTAGTTTTGAGGGAAATGTTAAGAGTTTTGTGTATTTGAAGGCTTCAAAGTGCTTCAACTCATGGATGTTTAGTGGCTGCTGTTGTTGGTGCTGCAACCAACAATTATTCAGTGGCAACAATCGCTTTGATTTGAGGTGCTTTGTAAGTGTTTAGACTTTGTATTGTTCTGTCCAAACCTTAAAATGTTGCCATCATACAAAAGTGTTGGTGTTAGTGGTGAAATGATCAAGTCTAAAACAGCGAGACCAGAAACACCCAGCGTGGTGACTTCTATAAATTTAATTCTCTGAAATTTGCTCCAGTGAAGAACCACCAGAACATGCCATCCTTAAGAAACCAAGATGATGTTTTTATTCTCCAAAACATTTTGTCCCACAGGGCACCAACTTTTGTCAGAGGCTGAAGGCTGTGTCAGCTGAAAGGGCAGCTTGACCAGATGTCAGAGTGCAATCGGACACTATATTATACTCAAAAACAATGTGCTAATAAAGCACCACTGAGCAGCATTTCATCTTCATTCATATGACATGCTTAAAAAACACAGAAGTAGTTGTACGTCTTGTTTTTATGTTAATTTAATTATCGGTCATCTAAGCCAACTGCTTTTAGGAAATACGAAAATTGCTATAAGTACGTCAAAATTACGGATATTGACCTAAAATTCAAGCACTACACATTGCACAATAGTTTTGCTTAAAACTTGAGTGTTAACTGTTGGCGTCAACCCTGTTAGCAAAATATCTCCTCTCCTGAACCACTGGACAGAATTTCGTGAAACCCTAAGAAGGTAATCAATGGCTGTACCGTACTTTTCGCTGTATAAATCACACCTTTTTGCATAAATTAGCATGCCCTGCAACTTGTACACCGAAGCGACTAATGTACATTTTTTCCCCCATATTTATAACCCAATTTTTGTCTGAGATCCGACTATTTCGTTCATTCTGACATGTAAAATATTGAACACTACCATTTTCTGCCGCTAGAGGGCGCTCGAGTGGTATGGCAAGCCAAGTGTGTCATTAATAGGTAAAAGTAGCTATTAATGAGATGCATGGCTTGCCATACCAAGCCACCTTTGTCTCGCTCCGGAACTCCTGGAGCAAACGTCAAATCAGCTGCATTTCTCTGCGCCACCCAGGTGAAATGCAGCGGATTTGACCATTAAAATGCATTTATTAAAGAAAAGTTAAGAGACACACCTTTACTATAATGTCGAGCAAACAAATAATTGTTTTTAAGTGTTAATCTTGTTAAATTCTTGTTAAAGTCCTCCCGTGCATGCTTCCGTGGCCACCATTTGGCAGCCAATCGATTTTTGGCACATCGGCCCACGTTTCCGGGTGGTCAGCGGTGACGCATAATAGATGCGGCGTATACGGCGAAGCGACATATTTGTTTTTTTCCACTTTATTAGACATATTTGGACTGATGCGACTTATTCGGCAGTGCGACGTGTACGGCGGAAGGTACGGTACATCTTAAACACGAACCAATTAAAGATGACTGCCACAGCTGATCGACCCGAATCAATCTTAGAAAAACGACTATAACTCAATCAGTAGTGCAGATATTTAACTAAAGTATGATGTGGTGTGGTAGTAGCCGAGAGTCTTCCTCAACATATCTTGCATTATCACATGATTAATGTCAATAAGAAGGTTTCACCAAAATAGCTTAAACCCCTATTCTTCTCATCATCAGGTGATTTTAGTCTAAAACTGGCATGAAATATATCAGCAATTTACCTTTTCCTCTTTCAAATCATTTTTATTTTCTTGTTGAGTCTCTTGTCAACTGTTTTTTTATTTTTTAAAGAATTTCAAAAACTTTGCTTTTGACACTGAGCACATTTGAGTCCTAGTTTCCTAGTCTATCCAGTTAATACATGATTTTGAGTTTAGAGACATGTTTTTTGTGCTTTCCCCTTCTGCATTAACAAAAACCCTGTTTTTATTTTTTACTTTTAGGAGGGTGTATGTATATTGTGTGGTCTAGGCTACAATGGTGTCGTGGATGGTAAGCACCAGTGGGACGCCTGTGCCAATATGAGGGTGTGGCTCTTTGAGACGACGCCACTTTTTGGAGGAACAATAGCTTCTTTCAACATCAACACAAACGCCTGGGCTGCTCGGTTAGTGTCGACGCAAATCTGTGTTGTCCCTGAGCTTTTATTAAAGCAGTGTTGTAAAAGTTAAAATTTTACTGAGATAATAGACTGGCGGAGGCTTCAGTTATGCATAAATAGCAGTCCTTTAACATCAAAGACCTTGATCTACACGTTTATTTAACACTAGAAAAAGCAAGAGGAAATGGACACAGTAAGTGTGTTTTGAAAGGAATCGCTGACAGTTTTCTATCCGAATCTTCACACATGAGATCCTTTCAGAACGTGGCTCAGTTTGATGAATATCATAGTGAACAAAGCAATTTATTTATCGAGCACACAGTTTATTACATGGTCCATTTCCTTGAATGCCTTAACGATTTCTGCTTACTCTTCAAACTGCTTCAGATGCAGAAAGCAGAGGAGGAGGTTGGCTCCGAAACAGAAATGAAAATTGGCTGTTTAAATGTAATTGATATAGTCATTAAACTCTGCACTGATGACTGAGATTATACTGAACCATTTTCGAGCCTTTAGTGAATGCGGTACAGACTTGACACATCGATGATCTAATTATTTAACCTACAACGGAACGCCTAATAATAGTCTCACTACTTTTTGAGGTCACAACACTTGTTCAGGCAGTTCACTAACAACTGGCTTTAATTTAACTGGATCGGTAAATGATTTGTGAGATTGTTGTACCGACTGTTGCTCATCAGAAGTAAAGGTAATGGTTTGTTACATTTCAAATAACGTACACAGAGATGGATACATTTCTTAGGACTCTTCCTCAATAATTAAAAAAAACACAGCTGATGTAACCAGACAACACGCTCCAGTTTGCTCTCATCAGTCCCAAAAAATCCCTCTCAGAAACTTTGGGGCTAATCAACATGCATTTTGGCAACTTTGGGTCTTTGTTTTCTGGTAGTAGTAAAACCTTCCTGGGTTTTCTTCCATGGAGCCCATTAGGACTCATAATGTGACTGATGATGTGATTAGACAGCAATGTAACTTGACTTTGGAGTTCAGCTTCAGCACTTTTGGATGGTTTTCTTGGCTCTTTTTCTGCTATCCTCACTCTGATCAACCTGGGGTTGCATTTTCTCTTGCGTCCATTACCTGGGAGGCTGGCTACAGTCCCACAAACCTTTTTATACTATGAAGAGAAATCCGTCTCAAAAGTAGTCACACGAGATTTTCTTGCCACTCCAGATTCACAAAGGTAATGCTGTGTTCAAGGCTGGTAAAAAGCTGGGACATCTGAGCCTTACCAGATTTACTGGTTATTGGAGATATGACACATTTCCATCTTGGCACAATAGCTCATAACCTCTATATTAAAACACGTATGCTTGTATCTGTCTATATCTTTATAAATCAAGATCCACTTGAAAATGTGCTCATGGGTACCGCCTCCTATAATTTGTCTCTCTAAATACACAAATTTAAGTATAAATGGTGAAAACAAAGCAGCTCTTTGAATGTCAATAAACTGAAATGAGCCTGCTGAGCAAGTCTTTGCTGTAAATCATGGCAACAATTAGGAAAAGGACAGAAAACAAATGTTTCTGACGCAGATGTGGGAGTGTCTATGGGTCACTAAATCTCTGTGGTGATGGAGCAATAAGTTCCTCTAAATCTTTACCCCCTTTTCTTGCTTCGTCTGGCAGTAAGTATGTTAATGGTGCAGTATTTTGCACAAATATTTTTCATATGTCATGTCATAAATCGTATAGGAATATCCACCTTTATGAAGCATTGTTTGGAGGGAAAAAAGGCGCTCGATATCCAATGGACAATTCTTTTTCTTCCTTCAGTTCACGTTTTGTTAGTTTAGTTAGCACAGGGGTGTCCAAACATTTTCACATGTGGGCCAAAACTTTTAAGATGAAAGGAGTCACGAGCCACAAAAATGTGAATAGAAAACATTTAATAAGAATAATAATGATAATAATAATAATAAAAACATACATATTTTTAGTGATTTTTTTTTTTAAACTCAATGTAAACAATATTTTGGAGAAAGGACAAAATTGACTCATTTTGGTGGAGAAGGTGTAATCTCCATTCAAAACTTTTTTTTTAAATTATTAATTTGATTAATACAATCCTTGGGCAATAAATCATATAAACTTAATACTGCTAATTTTGACATGTTTATTTTTTCTGTTTTGCTGTTAAATCTAAAAATTATATTAAAAAATTATCGCCATTAAATTTGCAAAAGGTCTACGTCTGCATCAATCTCTGAAGCCTACGGGGCAAAATTATACCATTCTTAAACTGCAAATGTGGGCCGTACAAAATCACTCCAAGGGCCACAAATGGCCCCCGGGCCGCACTTTGGACACCCCTGAGTTAGCATGTTGTTTTCCATCTGCATACATTTTAAAACTGCTGTGTTGCGTTTAGGTATTTGGTTTTGAAAGTTGTGAAAACAATTTGAAGCAAGCTACCAAAGTATGTCGTCGTCAGATTACTTTTGCCAGTCGAGTTTAGACTCCTGCTGTCTCACAGACACTTTGAAGTGCATCAACCTCGACCAAACAGAACCACTTTGTGTTTTGAATCGTCAGCCTCAGAGCCACAGCTCAGGGAGAGGCTGGGCTCTGATTTGCAAACTGAAAATATGTTTGCACTTGAAATATTAGACATTTTTTTTAACACTAAAACTGAATACTTGCATAGAAATCTTAAATTGTTGAAATGTTCCAGTGTAACTGTTGCCATGCAACAACAACTTGCAGGTACATTAGTGCACGCCACTGTGAGAGTCGATCCATTAAGTGTTTCTGACTGATTTATCCAGATTCATGGCCATGAAGAAATTTAAAACTTTGACTTTTTCTTTAAAGGCACGTATTCAAGCGGCTGAAGTTTCTGGGCAATAAGACCTTGTCTCACGTGTCAACGCTGCTCTTTCTGACCATTTGGCACGGCCTTCACTCTGGGTACATCTTGTGCTTCTCTATGGAGTTCTTCATCATCACAGTGGAGAGACAGGTATGCTTTAGGTGCAAAACAAAGTCAAGGTTGATAACCGTTAAATAAGTGAAGCTGAAACATTCAGTGTTTGTTTTGTTAACGTCATAAAAACCATTGATGAACTTTAAATAAATGGGATAACTTTGATTAAATGCACCTCCCTGCTGATGTTATTTGTAGTTTAGATGGTGGTTACATATAATAAAGACATAAAACTTCCTCAAATAACGCGTATCGCATTTCTCCATTCCAGAGTTTTAGACTAAGACCGTCTTACGATGACACGGGATGAAGTTAAAAATGTTTTGGTTAAACTTTAAAGATAACATTATGCGAGATGCGATATAACGAGAAGTTTTTGTGCAATATTTGTAAAACTGACAAATGTATCCTTTTTCGTGTTTGCAAATGTTGCTTAGCTGTGGTGGACGTCTTTAATTGAATTGATCTCATTGCGTAACCAGTGATTATTTTCTATACATTTTGTTTAAATCTGTCCAATGTTTCATGAGATATTCTGCTAACAGATGGGACAGAGGTGACTCCAAATAATTATTGGACAAATTTTACCCAAAGTTCTGTTAGAGCGCAGAGTATGTGTTGCTTCTGCTGTGTTTTACTACCATTTACCATTTGTATTCTGTGCATGTGTTTGTGTGGCAGATCCATGCTCTGGTGCAGGACAGTCCTTTGCTGACAAAACTGGCCAACAGCCAGCTCTACCCCCTCATCTATGTAGTTCAGCAGTTTATCCACTGGCTCTTCATGGGCTATCCTCTTGTGCCATTCTGCCTCTTCACCTATGACAAATGGCTCAAGGTAAACACAAATCTCCTGAAACTACACCAGTCCAAAGATTCATTCTTTTTTTTTTTTTTTTTTTTTGGTGTCACTTTTATTATTCAGACAGCTTTGGGGACTGTTGAGGGTGACGGTGATTTAAAATCAGAAGTGCTCTGTAAATAAGAAGTTAGAGGGCTCAGCTTGGAAGGAGCGCGTTTGTGAAAGAGGAGTCTTGAATTTTATGACACGGGATCTCGTTTTTATTAATGTGTATAATTTTTCACTTAACAACAGATAAAGCAATGCCCACACATTCTTAATTACTTTTGTATCGATGTTCTTTTTATTTAAAAATATTTAATTAACTCGTCAACCACTAAAAGCAAAGTTCTGATGCTCTAAGTCATTTTTTAAAAAGTTATAATGTTGCCAGAGCCCAGCCCTGGGGTTTTCTGTGCAATCAGAGGCTTTTACATTAAAGTATTGTAAGTAATCTGCTTACAACAATTAGATCAGGCCACACTCGGCTTTCCTCTGTGTCGTCGCAATGTTTCGCAGCAATAATTAAGCTAAGATAAACTGCATTTGCCAGAGGATCCTGCATTATTTTTTTATGTCGGAGCCCCCGCTGTGCCAAGAGACTCATCCGTTGGAAAGAATAATGCTGCTGTTCCACGGAGCTCTTTCTGCTATAACTTCTGGAAAGCCTTAAATGCAGCATATAGCAAAAAACACTTTAATACTAAAAGTAGGTTTTTATTAGGAGACATAAAGGAAAGTAAAGGGAATTAGGAGTTTATGTGTTAAAGACATAAATCCACAGGGATGAATTTTGTCTCTTGTTTTCCAGGTGTATTCTTCCGTCTATTTCTGTGGTCATGTGTTCTTCCTGGTGGCATATTTAATCGTGCCATTCCTCCGTAAGGCTCTGGTACCCAAGAAGGACCGGAGAGAGAAAAAGCAGGACTAAAACCCCGGTTCTAAAACCTGGCATGGTATGTAGGCACACTCTCCTCCATCCTCATGCTGCTGACGTCAACCCAGAGACGAACGACCGCTTCAGAAGTCTGTTTCCTTTCAGGTCCGTCTGAGGCTGAATATCCTCTGAAGGGAACTGTGACATTCAAGGAACAGTGCAAACGCTGTTTTCAGGCCTTTAGTAATATATAAATATATGAATATATGTTCATGTAAAGAAAAAAATATATATTTTTGTGCTTTTAAGTGGGAGGGGTGGTTTTTATAAACATTTTTGAAGAAATGTTTACAGGAGATTACCGTTGTGCCACACGGGTTAATTGTGAGCCAATTTGGGACAAGTCTTTTTCTTGATCGTTATCGCTTCTTTCCTTTTTTTTAATTTTTATTTTTTTCAAACATGGAGGACACGAGGGACTCGTGCAACCTGAGACGTACATGCTGTCGACACAAGATTGCACTTATGAGTCACAGGTTCCGAGTCTGTTTTTGGATCCAGTGTGTTTTGTTGTTTCATTGTTCTGGTCCCACGTCTGACACCCACATTTAGCTGCAGCACGAAGCCTGTACAAGAGGTTTAAGCACGGTGCCAGCATATAGGACACGTCCTGATGTCATGATACGACATCCATCCTTTTCATTTTCCTGCAGAAAGGTTCAAATGATTAAAGTCAGGGTTTTGTTTTCTTTGTAAACGGCTGCTAGTGGTTATACAAGCACTGTAAATCACACACTGTACACTAACACCCAACTTAAAATGGCCTTGAATTAATGAATGTTTTTACCGTTCATTTCTTCTGAATTTGATTTGTCATTTGTAATAAAGGACTTGATTTTTATAAAGTTTTAACAGTTTTTTGGAACAAGAACGTTTTGTAATTTTTGAATAGGATTTAACAAAACAACTTCACAGTTCTCCTGCCTTTCCTAATTGATATCTTTTTTTTTTTTTTGGCTTGCTTGTTTGCTCTTGCCACATCCTCCGTCTGTGCCACTCCATTGTTCGTCTGCCTCAGTTCAAGTCTGACTTTTCACTCCGAAATGCACAAATCTGAACGCGAACCGCACTTATTTATTGTATCTCTTGGATCTGTTTTAGAGGCCGCAGGCTGATTCCTAGACTTGAAAATTTCTTATTTGGAAGAAAAACTGGTTTGATCTTCTGTTTCTAACAGTGAGGTGCTGGCATCATATCCCTTGATGTGAATACCTCTACGATGTATATATTTTTGGGATTATGCCTCTTCATTTTGAAAACTTCAGCTCGGCCGTCCTTTCACACACTTGAGGACAAACCTCACTGTAGCAATGGTCCAGATTCCAGTCATATTTATACATGACGTGGTGACTATTATTAATTAATGAACTGCTATTTCCAGAGATGACTTCTTTTTTTTTTTCCTCCCTAACCCTTTGCAAATGTACAAAAGTGGGAGGCGGGGATGATTTTCAAATACAGTTTTGTAATGTTCAATAAAATGCTGGATTTCAAACACTTTGTGTTGTGCACAATGTTTTCCTGTGAGGGGTTGACATGACGTCATCTCGTAGAGATGACTGAGCAGCAGTGTGAATTATGTGCAAATTAATTTAAAAAGGGGAGGAAAACTAATGTGGAGGAGGAGGGTGCCAGTCAATAAGCAGACCCTGAGCTGACGGCTGGCGAGATGAGATGAATTGCTGTGTTGGAGTCAGAAAACAGCCAGAGCAGCAGTCTGCTGCCTCAGAGCTGGTGGGGGCCTGAGAGTGAAGGACGCAGTGTGGGCGGGTTAAGACACGCCGAGAGGGCGGGAACGTCAGCGTAACATTCCCATCGTTTTTCTTTTCTTTTTTTTAAAAACAACAAGGACATCTGTCGGTCTCTTACACCTCCTTCCTGCTTCTTGTAACGCATTCGGAGGAGAACCTCCCGTTCTTCTTCTTCTTCTTCTTCTTCACCTGGAGGTTTGTCAGTTGGTGCTCGGTCCTCCGGGGTTTGCTGAGCCGAGCGGCAGGGGCGTGAGAGGCGGATGCTGCGAGCGTAGAAGCAGGTACCAACAACCCGGAGCATCACCGCGCTCAGCACACGGTAATGTCAAACTACAAAAATCCGTATTTCTGCGACATTTTACTCCTCGGGGCCCCACCAGCGGGTCTAATTTTTCCCCGTTTATTTAGCCACGAAGCGCGTGATGTAAGCGCGTGTCGTTACTAGCTTGTGATGAAAATCGGCTAGAAATTGTCGCATAGCATGTTTGTACTTCTGAACGTGAGTGTTGTTAGCCTGGACAACCTGCACGGATGGAGCCGCATGCAGTTTTTCTTTTTTTCTCTCGCTCTCTCTGTTTGACTAAATATGTTGTGTGTGTGCTCTCAAAATATAGGGATTGGTGATAGATAAACCCCCGGGCTAATTACGCCACAAACACATTTACACACACGTTCATGTGTTGGTACTCCACACAGGCTGGGCAAGCATGCCAGTCAAAGCAGTATTAAGGTAAACTGCTTCATGGATTACTGGTCCAGTCATGCAACTCTGCTAGTTTTGCAGTCCTCCAGGCGTTACATCCATGACACTTTATTTATCTGGTGCTTTCTTTGCACAAACGCAGCAGTGAACGTAAAACCCTGTCTGTTCTGCCTGATCTGCTTCTGTCTCGTTACAGTACTGTCCACTGCTGATCAGTTGTTGATGCATGAACTGTACACCCCCCTCTCTGTCTTCACCCCACCCTGTTACCTCCCCTCCTCTCTGTTTTCTTTCCTTTCCTCCCTCAGATGGACAGAATGAATTTTCTCTCCTTCCTTCTCCTTTGCTTGACTTCGGTTGCCAATGGCAACAAAGGTCAGTTCCTCATCCTTTTTGACTGGTAAATGTGAAGTATTGAGATGATGGTTTACATTGCCATAGGAACACGTACCTGCCTGGGTTTTCAGGTGAATCCGTGGCTGTTTTTGCTCAAGAAATAAACCCGATGACTTCATTGTTATTCCTGTATCATAAAGCCTGAATTCCTCATGCATAAACGGTGCATTCAAACCTACATACATAAACATTTTCCTGCTCATAACCCTGTGTGCATGTGCCTTTTTCACCTACTGTTTGACTCTGAGAAAACAGACATTTCCCTCTGTCTTTGGCAGATTTATTATAGTTTTTTTTTTTTTTTTTCATGATTATCATGCTGAGAGAATGAAACGGGAACAGAGAAGGGAGATTGTGTCAGAAGAAGAGGCCAATGCAAGACTTGAAGTAGATTGAAGAAGAGGGAAATGAGAAGAGTAAGTGGAGATGAAGCCATGACAGGAGAGGACATGCTGGGGGGTGGGTGGGATGCAGGATGATAAGGTGGGAGAGGGAGGAATATGAGATCGGGCAACACGAGGGAGAAAAGAAAAAAAAGAAAAGTGTGAGAGGCTGGGCCTTTTGTGTGCATACAGTACGTGTGTCAGGTTGAAGGGTCCAGATGAGGAGGGGTGGACGCGTGAGTGCTGGGGAGTGACAGAAAGAGGAGCAGTGCCAAGGGGGGCAGGCAGAGAGATGGAGTGAGATGCCTCTCAACTGTAATCCTGAATGTAATCCACAGGCCTGATGCTCAGATTAATGCTACACAGAAGCAAAGAGGGAGGGGGAGGACAGAGGGCACGAGATAAATGACCAAAACAAAAACGCAGAAGACGACTGAGGAAACCCAGGAGGTGGATGAATGTCTGTGATTACCTCTGGGTGTTGAACCTCACATTCTCTGTGCCAGCTAAAAATACGTTTGAATTAAAGAGTGTTACAAACTGCCAGGATGGATGGATCTGTCAGATTTACTTACTCGTTTGACAGATATTCACTTCAGGAATTCACAGTTTTGGCGATATAAGCATTTATTAAGTGGAGATATGATCAGGTGTTTAGATAATTACAAAAATTTGGAAGCGACTCAGAGTTTTATCAGCTGTTGTTTTAAGGTAAGAATGCTTTCATAGTTGGAGAAAGAACAATTTTTTTTCCTGCAAGTAATGATTATTTAAATTTGCCAAATATTTTAAGATGTTTTTATTTATAAACGGGTGAAAAATATAGTCAAGGATTTTGACATATCATTTAATCTGAAACTAACCCCCCCAAAAAAATACAACTCAACAGAAACGGGTGAGATTTAGTTATTTTTTTAGCATTTTTGCACGAAGTCAGGCAATTAAAAAAATACAGTAGCAGTTTATGTTTTTTCTTAATAATTTTTCAACATTTTACCTCCTAAATCAACCATATTGTCATGTTAATGTATGTAATTAAGAGTCAAAACTGTGCAATTAATCATTTTAATTACGCATTTATTGTCGGCAACAATAATATCTCAGGATACAATGAACAGAGTTTGATGTAAGTAAAGCCTAAAAATGATTAAAAAAAATCATTATAGTTGGTAGAGTATGTTTGATATGAGAATGCTTTAGTAAAATACCACAACACATAGATTTTTTTTTTTATCAGTAACAAAAACCTCTTTAAATTCAGCAGTGAGGCATAGTAAAAGCTGTGATGCTTAAGCAAAAAAAATAAAAAATCTCAAACCATACCCAGCACGGTGTTTGAGCTGAAAGAAGTCTGATCAGATTTAGAACCAGCAGCATTTCGCCTCTGTTGACTCACTTCTCACACAGAATTAGTTCCACTCAAATTTTCTAGAAAATTCACTGTGATTGCCAAACAAACAACAAACCAAAAACTGTCTTGCGCTCCTGTCTGATTTCAAACTCTGCAGCTTCTGGCATTAGGAGACAGACACCAGAGGGAGGGCACGCCGTGCCGCCTTTTGTTTTTCCTCATTGCTGGAGTGTAAAATCGTCAACCTTCTGGCTCATTAACTTGGCCTTTGATCGCTCAGCACAGAACATTCAGCAGAAGGATTGATAATTGTTTTGACATTAAGGGTTAAACTCAGAGTAAACCTAAGGCACTTGACTCTGACTTTGCTTTTTTTTGCTGCATTATTCAGCTTCCCAGATTTAGATATGAGCAATACTTTTCTGTTTGTTTCTGTGCAACACAGGGAAAACAGAGTGGATATAGTTATCCTGCTGGTGGATGTTGCTTGAAATGAACAAGGGATGGTGGTCAGTATGGAGGAAAAGAGAGTTGAATATGATCAAACTGCGGTCACACATGTTTTGCGTATTGTTTCCCCCTTACACATGCTTCCTCCATGTCCTCCACCATAATTGGATGTTTAAAAATAGCTGCTTTGGTTTCCTTCTAATTGCTCCATTTAACCCAAAGCCTCTTTGGTGTCCTCTCTGCCATTCAGCCAATAAACACAAGCCATGGATCGAGACGGAGTACCAGGGGATCGTTATGGAGAACGACAACACCGTCCTGCTCAACCCCCCTCTCTTTGCCTTGGACAAAGATGCCCCACTTCACTATGCTGGTAACTGCAACAAGCACCATGGAGGGCTATAAAATCAAATGGTTAAAATGATTTTCACTGAAGTCTTTTTTTTCCCTTTTGAATGGCTGCTACAAAGAAATAAAAAATGGGTCAAATCATCTGCAAAGCCAAACTGAAGCTCGTCTGCACAGATGAGACAGAAAATCATCCAACTTTTATTTTGCAGACAGAATGATGCTGCAGTCATATGACCACTCAGAGGTTTATTCCCGTTTGTTTTGTTTGCTTGAGCTTTTAATAGTGAATAATGCAAACACCTTCTCTCAGCAATAAGACTAGAATTATTTCCCTAAAGACCACCTAAATAGAAAGGCAAATGTATTCAGTCACAGAGTGCACTATTTTTAGACCATCATAGTGTAATTGAACCTCTCTTTGCAGGAGCAATCAGCAGGGCTCTGCCTGTGCAGCCTGATGAAATAAGGTGATCATGTTTGCCCTCAGAGTCCTGGAAATAACCGTGTTCAGTCAAATTACAAAAAAATCAAATTGAATTACATGAAGTTTTCCTGATGTATATAGAGCCCATGTCAAGAAAGAAGAGGAAATTACCTGTTTGAGCATGAACCTTTGACTTATGTCAGCCGATAGACATCAGCTGCTTTTCAAAGTTTTTTTTTAGGCGCTTCTGGAATCACGTTTTTTTCCTCATTCAATTTGGATGATAACAGGCTGTTTGAGATAACATGAAATAAAGTCTAGTTATCAGTATCACAACAACAGCAAAGATGTAACGTTAAGTATTTCTAATGCTTCGTCGCATACATTTGTGGCTCATGCTGCTAAAATGAGTCGGAACGAGCACAAAATGAGTCCATAGAGAGGCCGTCTAGTGATCCCAGTAATTAAAGTAGCATGTAGTCTTCCTAATCTGCCTTTTAAATCAATACTTTTTAACAGACATGCCTTTAGAAATAATCCTTTCAATTCTAGTCCTTTCAGTTTCCTATAAAATTTACAATTTTTCTCTGATGGCTGCGCTAGGAAATCCCTTCGTATAATGTTTGGTCTTTGTGATACATAGGCATTCCCCCTGTTTAAATATAAGGTTGGAATTCGCAAATACGTCATTTTAGACCAATAAAAATCAAGGTTTGAAACCAGCACTCTTGAAAAATATTTGTTGCAGGCCAGGTGAAAGAATGACAGATTTCAACAAACTACATATCATTTTGAAGCTATTGAGATAACAAATTAAAAAAAAATTATATATATAGGAAAAATTCCTGATTGTGACTCATTTTGCCAACATTTTCTTCCCTTTAATTTACACAATGTAAAAAGTACAAAGTAAAACATCCATCCATCTATTATCTTTACCCATTTCTTCCTTTTTGGGTCGTGGAGGTCGCTGGTGCCCATGTCCATCTATCACTGTGAAAGGTGGGGGACACCTTGGACAGGTCTCCAGTCCATCACAGGGACACATAGAGGCAAATGAGACAAACAACCATTCACTCTCTCACTCACACCTAAGGACAATTTGGAGTTACCAATCAGCCTAGCATGTATGATTTTGGTCTGTGGGAGGAAACCGGAGAAAACCCACACATGCACAGAGAGAACATGCAAACTCCACCCAGAAAGGCTCCCAGCTGGGATTTGAATCGGGGCGACCTTTTCGCTGAGAGGCGGCAGCTCTACCAACTGTGCCACCGTGCTGCCCTAAAGTAAAACATAATTTTGTGATTTGCACATAATTAAAATATGTTCCACATTTTGATTTTGTCAGCATCATGTTTTAAAATAGCATGAAAAGAGGACTAAGAGAAGACTGGAACAGTCTGCAACATAGGTTAATTGGTAATAAGTAAGATGATTTTGTCAAATGTTAAGGGTTACTTTGAACTGCATTTATTAAAAATCAGGGAAATAGTTTCTGGATTTCTTTTTCATACTTCCATTGAAGGATCATCACATTGATTTTGTTGCTATTTTTACAAATTATGAATCAATAGTGGCCCTTTGCACATTAAAACAGACACAGTTCTATCAGAGAAATGGGCTCAAAACAATCATTGCTAGTGAACACACATCACAGCTGCATCCACAAATTAAAATTAAATATATACCATAAAGATAATTGTATACCTGAGGTCTGCTAAATTATAATTTTAAGTTCCTTTTGGAAACCAAAGACGCTGCTTCCTCAGGGCTGAAGGGAATGAGGACCATCTGGGTTGTTATCCGTGCACTAAAACTGGAATTTGGGCTTGTATTTGGGTCAATGGAGCACATGTTATGGACAGCTTGCAAATCTTTGTCACCAGCATTGACGCTGAACAGCGTTTTCAGGTTGGGGAGCAACATAGGCTGCACTCAGACAACATGATTTTCACAGGGAAAGATTTGCTTTCTTTAGGAAAATGTCATAAAAACAAAACGTTCTGTTCATGTTACGACTTGGCTTTGACATGTTCAGGTGCAAAACTGTCTTACTCCAGATAAGTCTATAAACTAAAATGTTTAGCTGAAATTTTATAACAAGCAAAAGGGAGTAGTTACTTATAAATAACTTACTGGCATAAAATTTAAAGTAAACAATTTTTTCCCAAAAGTGACTTATTTCAGGTTTAATATATAATGATCTGGTATTTTTACATTTATTGTAACATCTCAAGTTTTCTAGAAAAATGTTACAAGTAATAACATGTTATATCTCTCTTTTTAGCAATTTTCTAAGCATGTCACAATTATCACTCAAATCGATAATTGTGACAGATTAAAAAAACTAATTAGTTACACACATCTAGAATGGTATAAAGGCAGAAAGGTACATTTAAACTGAAAAGTTGCTTAGAATTTTCTTTTAATTTCCATCTATTTAGGAGTGTTTTCAACAGAGATATTTAGTACCTTTAATATTTTTCTGTAAAATATCTGATTGCCTGATTGAACAAGCTTTTGGAGTATTTTAAAAAGGCAAGAAAAACAACGCTCATTAGTCAGAAGGAGGCCAGTTTAAAGCTGTTCAAAAAATAAAAAGGTCAAAGTAGGTGTTGCAGTAATCAGCCCATAAAGGAAAACTACCAAGTTTTTTTTTTTTTCAAGTTAAAAGTGATTACAAAAAAACTTCTAATTTAAATATCTGAGTGTTTGTATAATATGGAAAACAGATTTTGTAGCTGTCTCACACAATCTTTCTCCCTCAGGTGAAATCTGTGGTTTTCGGGTTCATAACGGTCCCTTGGGTTCAGGATCAGTCCAGTTTGAAGCCGTTGTTCTGGACCGCTCCACCGGCGAGGGTTTGGTCCGGTCCAAGGAGCCGCTGGACTGTGAGAGTCAGCGGGAACACAGCTTCACCATCCAGGCCTACGACTGCGGAGAAGGACCTGATGGAGTCAACAGCAAGAAATCTCACAAGTCAGACCTTTTAGTCCCAGTTTGGAAATTAGCTTTTTAACAGTTTTACATTCTGTGTGTGTCAGACTGTGCTCTGTACAGACTACTGCAGCTTCCTGTTATCACAATAACCCGCGCCTCTCTGCTTGTGTTTGGCCTTCCACTCCTCCTCCCCTCAGAGCCACTGTGCATGTTCGTGTAAACGACGTCAACGAGTTCTCCCCTGTGTTTGTCGAGCGTCGCTACGAGGCTTCGGTCCCAGAGGGGCGTCTGTTTGACCGAATCGTACGCGTGGAGGCTCTGGATGCCGACTGCTCCCCGCAGTACAGCCAGATCTGCTTCTATGACATCATCACTCCCAGTGTGCCCTTCGCTATTGACAACGACGGTACCAAGATTTTTATCTCACACTTTTAATTCAGAGACTGCAGTGCTAACACTATAATCACATTTTCTGTTTTATGTTTGTTTGTAAGCAAAACTTTAATTTAGTTCAGTTCTGTGATGTGCTGCACTCAGCACACAGAAAACAGCGGCAGCCACTGCTGAGATACTGAAGTCTGTTTAGGGAAAAATTGAAAAGAGTTGCAGGGATCTTATACTCCACTCAGGTAAAAGACGTTAAAATAGAATTTGTGGGGGCGGGATTTTGTTCTGCATCTGCAACAACTGTTTGTTTTTTTAGCCTTATGCTACTGGCTTATATCATTACCTTATTTTTTGGTGGGGAATGTAGATACAACAGTCATGTGACTTCTTGGTGGGCGATCAGATGTGACCCTTTTTTAACAGCAGTTGAGATGGATCCAGCTTTAGCATGACTTTGCAGATTTTTCCAGAACTTAAAGGGTTCTGCAGAAGATGAGTGGCCTCTTTCTGTTTTTCAGACAGTAGCTGAGACCTTTTGTTCCCGTCTTGCTCAGATGCCGTTTGCTTTTTGTTGTCTGTTTACTTGGTTTTTCGCTTTCAGTTTTGACCCTTTCTACTCTTTGTTTTTCATCTCATCATGTCAAAGCGTCTTCTCTTCCTACCTACTGTTTATCAGCCGGCATGCTGGGTGCAGTCAGCCCTTCACAGATACTCTCTGTTTATTCACCTGTATCTATAAAAGCAGAAAAACACTTTTTGTTTTTTACTTGTTCAGAGTTATTTGTCTTCCTCTGTCTTCTTGATTTCTTCCTATAGACAGAGCACCAAGCTCGGTTGTGGCTCTGTGAAGTTGTTTTGGGGCTGTTGAAGGCTTTTCCATGTACTTTTAGCTGTTTTGTATTTTCAATCATACAAGGCTGCTGCTGACTAACTTACTATTTCTGTTTGTCTCATTATGTCATGTTCTCCATTTCCTTTGATGCTTTGTCTCCTAGGTAACATTAAGAACACTGAGCCTTTGGATTCAAAGCGGCAGCGCGTTCACACCTTCTGGGTGACTGCCTTCGATTGTGGAAAGAATCGTGCTCAAGCTGATGCTCAGGTTGTCGTCACAGTCAAGCCGTCCTGCAAACCCGGCTGGATCGGTAATCATTATTGCACATATCTCTTCTTCTGTCCTGAAATAACCCAGTGAAGGCTTTAAACATGTGGTTTACTTGTTCCATTCAATGTTTTTTTGGGTGAAACTCTCACTTTCAAGTTATAAAGCATGTGTATGGCCATTCAGTTTGACACATTTTTAGGTCAGCCAGTCTAAAAATTGATGCTGGGGCTTCAATATGAGATGCTCAGCGGTGATTTAGGAATTCTTTCCAGAAATCAAATAAATTTGACAAAGTGTTGGTAATGTCACATTTGACTGTGGTTAAGTTTGACATCTGGAGGTCGTGGATGCTGCTTCAGAGCAGACAAAGGCTGCTTGTTGGTCTTTAACAGTTTTAAGCACATGATCTGAAGGCATCTTCAGCATTCAATAGTACAAATCTGATTGAGTGTAATAGAACAAGTGATGCAACAGGCAGCCATTTTTTTAAGCTTTCTTCTTCAGATTGAGAAAATATTTTAGAATCTTAGATTTTTTAAATTAATACATGCTATCTTTTTATTTTTATTTTTATTTATTTTTTAAGATGGCCTCCCTTCTCCCCTTACAGCCATCCTCTCCACACCATTATTATGAAATATTTATTCTAGTGACTATCTAGTGTAGGTTTTTTTTTTTTTTTTAATAGGATAGAAAGAAAGAAAAGACAAAGTAAGACTCCAAAATATAAGAACTATACACAAAGAGAGCAAAGGCAAAACACCCGGCCACTGTCTGTTCACCTGCAAAGAGCATGACAAAACACAGCAACAAAATACATATGTATAAAGAACTTAAAATATTCATGGCTTTGCAGTAAGTTTCCATAAATATATATGCCCATACCTACGCCTATATACATACATACATACATACACATGAATATACATTCATATACATATCTATATATCTACATATAAAGCCTACATAAGCATCCCTGCTTCTATTTGTGTGTGGTTGTGGGCATGCATAAGTGTATAAGGCTTCTCTAATAGAACATTTAATAGTAACTGTGAAGCAGCAGAGACCCGACCCCCAAGACCAGAGGCAGACGAAAAAGGGGGGACCAGAGCCCAAGACCCCAGGAGGGACCCCGACCGCGGAGCCCCCAGGGCCACCCACACATGTTATCTTTATTTGATTTGCAGATTGTCGCATTCTGTTTCTATTTAATCTTCTTTTTTTAGACAGTTATTTTTTGTTTGCATTCTTTAACATTCTCATTCATTTAGAATTTAAATGTAGCACAATGAGGTGTAAAGTTTTTTTTTTTCTCCCCAAGGATGGACAAAGCGTGTAGAATACACACCAGGGTCAGGAAGCATCCCTCTGTTCCCCAGCCTGCATTTGGAGACTTGTGAAGAGACGGTGTGGAACATCCAGGCCACTGTAGAGCTCCAGACTGGCCACATTGGAAAGGGCTGTGACAGAGACAGCTACTCCGATAGATCTGTACGCCGCTTGTGTGGTAAGTTTTACTCTATACCTAAAACCATAATCATGAGACAAAATCTGTTTTATTCATGCCATGTCCTTTATTTTTATTTTTTTTCCTTTGTCATTTACTCAGGTGCCGTCAGGGGTGAAGTAGACCTCCTCCCACCTCCATCTCCTGCAGCCAACTGGACTGCTGCTCTGCCCACTCTTCCCTCTTCTGATTCATCTCTGGTCTTTTCCTTCAACGGGTCGAATCATGTTGCAGCGGTGCCGGATTCGATCGTGTCCACACTGTCAGGTGACCATTTCACCCTCCAGCTGTGGATGCGCAGGGGTGGTGCCAACATCCAGGCTTCAACCACACAGTCCAGGGGAAATCGCAAGGATGAGGAGACTATTGTGTGCAGCACCGTCAAGAATGGTGCGTTTCACCTTCTGGACTTTACTGACACTGATTTACACTCTTTGATGGGATATTTCAGTGATTGCATGCTGTTACTTATGACCGTCGTCTCATATTCTAATCTGCAAGTAAAACCAAGGCCGAAAAAAGAAACCTGATTTTACCTTCGACAAATATCAAGCTGTTCCGAAAGGCACTTGACTTCCAGCTGTCACCTTTGTGCAGCTGAGTGGACAGCAGAAAGCCAGTAAAACACTGTAATTGTGCCTAAAATATTGTGTGAATCATGTGAATATAACTGTGTGACTTACAGGGAAACAGACCTTTTGAAGAAATTCACAAATCAGAATAAAAAAAGAGTGCACTGTTTTATTCTTTTTGTGGTTACTCAGAAGAAATAGGTCCACCAATTATTTTTTTATTCCTTTTTGTTTTTCTTCTCTTCAGATGACTCCTACTCTCATTACTCCCTTTCCGTCCACGGCTGCCGTCTCTCCCTCTTCTACTGGCCCGACGTCTCGGCTGCACGGCCCGTCAAGTTCTTGTGGAAACTGGAGCAGGTACCGGGGAAAAATACTTTATTTTCTGCATATATTTTCTGTTTCAATTTTAGAATTAAGCTGAAACAGAAGAAATTTAATAATCTTTACTAAATAATCTTCACTAAAACATGTTTTTTAATTGAATGAACATATTTTTTCTCTACAATTAAACAACACTAAAATATAACTCTAAAATAAAGCCTCTTTTCCTTCACCTCCCAGACTTTTTATAGTTATTGGCTAATTTTAATCGTTCATGCTGTGTCCATCATCCATCTGAAGAAATTGTTGTCTTATTGAAGTATTGCGCAGTTCGTTACCTGTGAAACAATACCATACCATACCACTTTATTTATAAAGCACTTAAAACAGCAACAAGGCGACAGACCTTGTTGAACATTACTTCTTATCTGGGATATAATTAAAGGCCCGGCATGCCTGGCAGTAATGCATGTTGCCTGTTGCCTTTCAAGCCAAAGTTTTAACATAAGATTATTATATGATTATATGATTTACTTTGTAAATTAAGTTATGCACTTTCTCATGTGATATTGGAATATCTCATAAAAAGTGCTTGGAGAATGTGTTTCATCAAAACCCATTTACGTCACGGTTTGATGGGAGGTTTGAACCCAGAATGTGGACAGGATACAAGGACCATCCATCCATTATCTTTACCCGCTTCTTCCATTTTGGGTCACGGGGGTCGCCGGTGCCCATCTCCAGCAATCACTGTGCGAGAGGCGGGGTACACCCTGGACGGGTCGCAAGTCCATCACAGGGCCACATAGAGACAAACAAGACAAACAACCATTCACTCTCTCACTCATACCTAGGGACAATTTAGAGTTACCAATCAGTCTAACATGCATGTTTTTGGTCTGTGGGAGGAAACCGGAGTACCCGGAGAAAACCCACGCATGCACGGAGAGAACATGCAAACTCCACCCAGAAAGACCCCTGGACCGGGGTTTGAACCAAAGACCTGCTCGCTGAGAGGCAGCAGCTCTACCAGTTGCGCCACTGTGCTGCCCGACACAAGGACCTCAAAAATTAAATAAACTTTATTTTTAAAACAAAAGTTCTGTTGTGGCAGAAACTACTTAAAAAGAATCACCTCAGGGAGAAACACAAGGATAACTTATACATGGCATGAGGAGCCAATCATTTTTGACTGAAGATGGAGGAAGATAAACAGACGAAATAGACTGGGGCGGAGAAGGAAAAGAGGCTACAGCTGTGACAGGTGAACAACTGAACAAAGTACAGGTGTAAGTGGGCGTGGCAGGACTGACTGAGGAGACGTAATTGATGGCACAGAGGAACGCAGGAGAACTGAAAAAATTAGAACAAATAACATCACAAAACATAATCGACCTGATAATAAAACACAAATGACGGCAAAGCACAGATCCTGACAATTCAGTGATCATGAGTTATTTAAAAGGCAAACATATAGTTAATGATAAAAGTTTAAACAAAAATTTTGTGCAATTTGTCATTGCTCATAATTCATGTTGCAGATCAGTCTGAGGAACAGTTTCTACCCTGAGGCTGTTAGACTCATGAATCTCTAACCAGAATAATCACTCTGAAAATCACATCATGTTGCTGCTGATCTGTTTCATGTTGCTGCTGATCTGTTTCATGTTGCTGTGTTCATGCGTGCTCATCTGCTCACGCAGACTCATGTTCGTGCTGCTGTTTGACGTAATGTTTTTATGCTACTAGTGCTTAGTGTATATTTAGCTGATGTTTTTCTTAGTTCATATCTTAGATCTTATTACTGTTTTTCTTTTACATTTTATTGTTGGATGTAACTGGGACCCTGTGTACATAATTTCGTTCCACCACATGTACCACATGGGGTGCGAATGACAAATAAAGAACCTTGAATCTTAGTCTCTGCTACTACCACACCCAATTTTAGATCGATATCTGTCATACTGACATTTGTTGCCATTTTAGTTTCTTTAAGGTTTGTTGGCTTTGGCAGCCATGTTAAATTAGGTTGACTCTAAAAATTCATCTGTTGTAGATGTATATCCATTATTTACTCTCTATTAGTTTCATTAAATTTTTTTCCAGGGTTTCATAAGAAATTTTTGCTGACAGACAGACAAACACCCACATGGATGCAGGCAAAAACATTTTTGCCCTCTCTTTTTGGCTGCAGTTTATAAAATTTTTGTGTCTAAATTCACCCTCTTAAACAAAAATCGGTTGTGATGGACTCTACTTCCCCCTTTAGCTGCCTGTGAAAGTTGTAGCACACAAGACAACTTGCAAAAATGAAAATGTTGCAATAACAGCAATTTCTTTAAACTTCATCGAGGCTCTCTTCTTGTTTTTAATTCAGGCTGTTTTTGTTGTCTGCTACACGGGATTGTTGTTTCTTCATCATATCAACTAATCAAGTAAAATACCATCACGGGAAGAAACAAAAGGAAAGGCGACTTAATATATTCACATGGAAGTTCCGCTAGCTGTTTATTTCAGATTTAAAATCATGTTATTGCAAGATAAATTTAACCTAAAAGATAAATGCACCTAAATTGTTTTGTAAAGCTTTCACGTAAAGTCATTACTTTAAAAGTCTACTCTGTTTCTGGCTTCTGTGCATCCGTGAATCAGCAAAAAGCATATTTATTTGTCATTAACATGCATTCAATGATTGGGCATTGAAGTGCATAAAAAAAGTAATGCCACTTTATTATTCTTCATGCAAGCTTTGTGCGTCTGTGTGGTTGGGTGTGTGTTGTGGTGAAATAAGGTTAGTTTTGATTCAATCCACTGGTCTTAGACAGATTGAAGTCTCTTGGATTAAAAGAAGCTGAGCTTGTTAAATCCTTCTGTCTGAATCACGTTATCTTGTTAGCCTGGTCTTTTCCTCTCTGCCCCACTATCTATAAAACTTCCCTGACACTCTTGTGTTGCTTCTGTTTTCACAGTTTGTTTATAAAAAGTAAAATAAATTTGTAGTACAAGTTACTTCACGGAAATATTCATGAAATAGGATAAATATAGTATTTATTTGTTTATTTATTTATTGCCTGAAGGTGATAATGTTTTTGCCCATGTCTGTGTGTGCTATTATACTTTTTTTATTATACTATTATACTGTCTGTTGTGTTAGCAAAATATTTCTTCAACCTATCAGAAAACAGTCATTTGAGAGTAAACTCAGTTCAAGATGGCTGCCACTGCCAACTTACCTTAAAAACACAAAAGCAACTCAGTCAATTTTATAGATAATGACTTAAGACTTGGTAGTTGAGACTGATCTCCAACTCATATTCTGAACACTAACAGTTTGCACTAAATCTTTATTTAAAGTTTTGTCATTTATTGCTGTAATTGGAGTCAACTCTGTCTGTTAGCAACTATGTCATAAACCACTAGATGAAACCTTCAGAAAGTAACCATTGGCTGTGCAAAGGCTATGGATTACCTTTTGGAGTCTCCTATTCAAGATGGCTACTACAGCTATCAGTGTTAAGAAACATAAAAATAGCTATAGTTCAGCCAAGCTTACAAAAATTGAGCTAAAATTTGGTCTAGTAGTAGCTGAGAATCATCCAGAACACATAGTCTGATAGTTACCTCTGGCAGTTTTGCATGACATAACATTATTTTATGGGTTGGTAAATAGTTACAACTCATTTCTCAAAATAAGATGATCTTAGTCTTAAACTCTGGCATGAAAGGTGGTGAGTGATGTGCATTATTTATTCATTAAACAATAGGCTTTCAATTTTCATTCAACCTTTATTTAGACAGGTAAATCCCATTGAGCCTCGAGGACTCCTTTACAAGAGAGACCTGATTTCAATTGTTAACTGTTTCAAACAATTTTGTCACATTTATGATTTCCCACATTTCTTCAAAAACAAGCTCCTCTCTAAACTTTTTAAAGATGTAAAAGCATTCAACAAACAAATAAAAGGAAATAATTCCACTCAAAAAAGCCCCCCAAAATAAATAAATAGATAATAAATAAATCAATTTTTGGTTTGTACCCAGACTGCGATCATATTTCAAGTACCATTTATTAATGCTTCACCTGCTTATCATATAATTGACCGCTCAGATGGACTCCCGCTGCCCTTAATGCTCCCTCCAGGGTTAGATAATTATAGTCCAGCTGCTGAAGTAGAGGGAAAGTTCTGTGAGCGTTATCATAACTGAACAGAAAAAGAAGAGCGAGAGTTTTTCACAATCATTAATGTCATCGCAATATTTAAAGATAATATTGTACCTGCATGCTTTTCTAATATCGTGCAGGTCTTTTCCACTAAGACCTCTCAAACTATCAGATTTATCTTGAAAGGGCCTGACATTTTCAGTCGGACTCAGCAGCCTGAATACACACTTTTCTGTAGAGTGAAATAAGGATCGGAATCCTTCTTTTGCCACTGATTTTCCAACATACATTTTTTTTTGGCTTCTTGTTGACTCCTTGTACTCTCTGTCCTGCAGGTGTGTGACAGTGAGTGGCATCATCTCTCCCTCAGTGTCCAGTTCCCATCAGTGACTCTCTATGTGGATGGTGTGACCTTTGACCCTGCTCTCATTCACGACAACGGAGCCATCCCCAACCCTGCACCCCGTCAGAGGATGCTCATTGGCGCCTGCTGGGGTAAATTTTATGCTCTTTAGTATAATTTTCATTCCAGCTCAATGATGCGTTTAATGTCATGCATAAAAACTATGATCTGCGCAGTTTGCTCCTTGTTTTATGTTCCTCCAACACCAAGAATATAATTTAAATCAAATATCATCCCCAAAAATAGTTGTCTGTGTTTTTCTGGCTATAATCATGAACCCTCATGAGGCATCTCAGGAAAAACCGCTGAGACATTTTGTGTTCTGCTTCTTTCCACACCCTCATTTTACTCAGCTCCATAGCTGCGTTTTGTTTTTAGGGTCTAATAATATAAATGACTTATCAATTATTTAGGGCAGCAGAACAACACAGGGGGCAGACAGCTATGAGACACTTACACTCGAACTGCTCGTTAAAATGGGAAACTGGCTGCCAATTACCAGCGAAACACACACACATTTATTTTTTCATCCCCACTGTGTGTGTTGGCTGTGTGGCAGCAGCTGCTGCCAGATAATGAGATGTTGCATTTTTGAAGATCCTCTACAGTTCTCTCGCTTATGTTATTTATTTATATACTATATATTTCCTTCTTTCTGTCTATCTTTTCACACTCAGATTTAGTCTACCTGACTCTTCATGACTCACTCCGCTAAAGTGCCTTTCTCAGTGCATCTTATTGTTTTCTGTTTTTTTTTTGCTCTTCTCTGGTTTTCCCTGCAGAGCTCGAAGAAAAGCAGAAGGAAATATTAAACAATACAATCCCAGAGGGGAAAGACTCAGGTGACCTACATGTTTTTAAAGTTTGGAGCTACTTATCTTTGTCATCAGTTGTGGAAAATATGAAAGGATTAGGCATAAAATTATGTGTGTTCACGTTTTAGTGAAGTACGTGGGTGGCTACCATGGCCTGTTGTCGGGGGTGACGGTGCGTCCGGGTAGCGTGGAGCCTCACAGCGTGGTGGAGTGTCTTTACGCCTGCAGGGAGGGGCTGGACTTTGGAGATCTGGAGACCCTGGGGTCTGGAATGAAGGTGGCATCATGTTGCATCAGAAACAGAGTTGTGACTGTTGTCAGGAAGCATCTGAACAAATACAGAACCGTTTCTAACTCTGGCAAATTAGATCTGCAAAATCTATAAAACAAAAACGACTAGAGAAATTGGATTTTCTGCAAAAATGCAAATTGAATGACTTTATTCAAATTTACTGAAGAAGCTGAAATTGAGTTATTAAATCTAAAAGAAGCACAAGACTTGCTTAAAGGAGCAAAACACTAGCTCAATGAGGCAAAACACTACCAGTAACTGAAATAGCAAAACACTAGCTAAATATAACAAAAACTAAAAGTAGCAAAATACTAAGAGGCAAAATGTTACTTAAAAACTAAAAGTAGCAAAAGCCTAAGAAAAACTGGCAAATAGCAAAATTAGCAAAGACCAGCTAAATGTAGCAAGAGGCTAGCTAAAAGTAGCAAAAGACTAACTTGTTTTTATTTTGACTGCTCCCTTCTTCAGGGTTGCCACAGCAGGAAAACTGCACAAAAGATTTGGCAGTTTGTTTGTTTTTTCACACAGGATGCCCTTTCTGGCACAACCATGACACTGGTGCTACAGCAGCACACAACAAAAAGCTAACTAACAACCATAAGTAACAAAAGGCTAGCTAAAAGTAGCAAAAGACTAACTTGTTGTTTTTATTTTGACTGCTCCCTTCTTCAGGGTTGCCACAGCAGGAAAACTGCACAAAAGATTTGGCAGTTTGTTTGTTTTTTCACACAGGATGCCCTTTCTGGCACAACCATGACACAACAAAAAGCTAACTAACAACCATAAGTAACAAAAGGCTAGCTAAAAGTAGCAAATTGTTAGATTAAAGAAGCAAAATGTTAGCTAAAACTAAAAGTACAAAAAGCCTGGCTAAATATGAAAACGGTTTTGCTAAAAGTAGCACAAGGCTAGCAAAAACAAACAGTTAGCTAAAAGTAGCAAACGGGTAGCTAGTAAACACTAACAGAGAGGTAGCTAAAAGCTAAATTAGCAAAAGACTAACTAAAAGCTAAAAATAATGCAATAATACAATTTAAGTAAGTTAAAGTAGCAAAAGGCTAGGTAAAAGTTGAAAATAGCTAGACTATGTAAAATCAAAAACAGAGCCATTACCAGTATCCTAAAACAGATTTTAAAAACAACAATATTTTTTAAGGAATACAATTTTTTTACGCACTTTATGGGGAAAGTATTTGTAAATAAAGTTCTGATCTACAAATGGCTGGAATATCACAAAGTATGCAGATATAGTTTAAAAAATCCAAAACAGGAAAATTACAGTACGAATGTTGGTTAAGCATTCACACTAATATGCATGAACATTTGTCTCCTTCACAAATGTTAGTGAACATCTTAAAAATATTTTGTATTTTACAAAATGATTTAGTCATATTTGTTTTTGTCACATCAGAATATTTTGACCTTGTTTACTCAAAATTTGCTTGTCTCCATACAGAAAAGCTTTATCAAAAACTGTGAGGTGTTAAATCGTTAAAGAGTATTGATGTAAGTTCATATAATCTCTCAGGTCCACGTGAACCCGAGTCAGTCTGTGTTGGTGCTGGAGGGAGACGACATTGAGAGCTTCAATCGGGCCGTGCAGCAGGTCACCTACAGAAACTCGCTGCGCTTCGCCACTCCAGGAGTCCGTCCTCTCAAGCTTAGCACCTCTCTGAGGTACAAAAACACAAAATCTATCTTGTGTGTGGGGAATTTTGAAACAAAGATTAATTTCACAACAAAAAACTCTGAATGTGGAGCAAGTTCCCCTGCAAACTGGACTTTACCTTTGACATAAATAAATAAATAAAATAACTGTTCAAACATTATTTCAGAAAACTGGATGAAAATTATGCGTCAAATATAAACAGTCACACCGGAAAGATTCTAATATCGCAAACATTACATTCAACACGTCCTAACAAGAGTCTGAGACTGAACTTTGCTCCGGCATTCAGATGAAGAGCCAATCTGCTTCTGCTGCTCACTCCTTCAACACTGAACCCGTCACACGTGGACCTAGGTTCAGCTCAGATAACGGCCGGTGTGCCAAGAAAATATGTCAAAGCACGAGATAAGAAGATATATCTTATCTCCTTGCTCATTCACCCATCAAGTAACGTTTTTTCTTTGACAGCGTGAACTGCAGGTGTCAGGTTATTTTCATTCATAGAAAATGAAAGTTATTTCTGGTTATAGTTTTAAGTAAAAATTCTATAGGTGTTTTTGTATTTTTTTAAAGCAGGTTGCTCTGAAGGTGACTTTAACTGTCTCTTTTTTAAGATTGCAGGGATTAAAATTGAACTGTTTTTACAGCACACAAACTCAGATGCTTAACAAGTGAGAACTGACTCTGGCTTTAGCAGTCACTTTTAACCAATTGAACATTAACACACTCAGGAAATAACAGTCCATTTTGTATATTTAGCAGTTTATTGTGTATTTGCATTCACTCATGCTTTATTTACATGTTTATATTCTAGGATTAGGACGATTATAAGGCTTTGAGCGAAACTGAAGGACTTTTTTTTTTTTTTTTTTTTTTTTTTTTTTTTTTTTTTTTTTTTTTT